ACCAGGCTCAAAGTGGATTTCTTGATGTTGAGCTGCAAACCTAACTCACAGAACAGGAATCTCATCATCTTTATGAAGGCAAAAACCTCACTTTAAGATCAGCCCTTGAATAGCCAGACATCGAGATACGATTATCCCTAGATGTTGAAGGTAAGCAGCGATCACTTGCCAATACTTTTGAGAACACTCTTGGGGCATATGAAAGGCCTAATGGAAGAACTTGATACTGAAAGTGATCCTGACCTACCAAAAAACGCAGAAACCGTTTGTGAGATGGGTGAAGTGCAATATGAAAACTGTCATCTTGAAGTTCAAGGGCTGAAAAACAATCTCCCAGTTCTAACCCTAACCCGTGTCTTACTTATAATTCTCCTGCAAACACATCCCAGAATGATGTTTGCTTTTTTTGCAACAGTGTTATACTGTTGACTCATATTTAGTTTGTGGTCCACAGTACTCCTTCCTAGGTAGTCATTTCCCATTTTGTATGTGTGCAACTGATTGTTCCTTCCTAAATGGAGTACTTTGCATTTGTCCTTATTGAATTTCATCCTATTTACTTCAGACCATTCCTCCAGTTTGTCCAGATCATTTTGAATTTTAATCCTATCCTCCAAAGCACTTGCACCCCCTCCCAGCTTGGTGTTGTCTGCAAACTTTGTAAGTGCACTCTCTATGCCATTATCCAAAACTGATCCCTGCAGGACCCCACTCATTATGCCCTTCCAGCATGACTGTGAACCACTGATAACTACTCTCTGGGAACAGTTTTCCAACCAGTTTTGGACCCACCTCATAGTAGCTCCATCTAGGTTGCATTTCCTAGTTTGTTTATGAGGTCATGTGAGACAGTATCAAAAGCTTTACTAAAGATATACCACGTCTACCGCTTTCCCCCTATCCACAAGGCTTGTTACCCTGTCAAAGAAAGCTATCAGGTTGGTTTGATACTATTTGTTTTTGATAAATCCATGCTGACTGTTACTTATCACCTTATTATCATGTAGATGTTTGCAAATTGATTGCTTAATTATTTGCTCCATTATCTTTCCGGGTACAGAAATTAAGCTGACTGGTCTGTAATTCCCTGGGTTGTCCTTATTTCCCTTTTTATAGATGGGAACTAAATTTGCCCTTTTCCAGTCTTCTGGAAACTCTCCTGCCTTCCATGATTACTCAAAGATAATTGCTAATGGCTCGGATATCTCCTCAGTCAACTCCTTGAGTATTCTAGGATGCATTTCATCAGGCCCTGGTGCCTTGAAGACATCTGATTTGTCCAAGTAATTTTTAACATGTTCTTTCCCTATTTTAGCCTCTTCCAATCCTACCTCATTTTCACTGGCATTCACTATGTTAGATGTCCAGTCACCACCAACCTTCTTAGTGAAAACCGAAACAAGGAAGTCATTAAGCACCTCTGCCATTTCCACATTTTCTGTTATTATTTTCCCCTCTCATTGAGTAATGGGCCTACCCTGTCCTTGGTGTTCCTCTTGCTTCTAATGTAGTTGTAGAATGCTTTCTTGTTACCCTTTATGTCTCTGGCTAGTTTGATCTTGTTTTGTGCCATGGCCTTTCTAATTTTGTCCCTACATACTTGTACTTTTTGTTTATATTCATCCTTTGTAATCTGACCTAGTTTCCATTTTCTGTAGGACTCTTTCTTGATTTTTAGATCATTGAAGATCTCCTGGTTAAGCCAGGGTGGTCTCTTGCCATACTTCCTATCTTTCCTATGCAGTGGGATTTCCTCTTGTGCCCTTAATAATGTCTCTTTGAAAAACTGCCAGCTGTCTTTTATTGTTTTTCCTCTTAGACTTGCTTCCCATGGGATCTTACCTACCAACTCCCTGAGTTTGCTAACGTCTGTCTTCTTGAAATCCATTGTCTCTATTGTGCTGTTCTCCCTCCTACCATTCCTTAGAATCATGAACTCTGTCATTTCCTGATCACTTTCATCCAAGCTGCCTTCCACTTTCAAATTCTCAACCAGTTCCTTCCTATTTGTCAAAATCAAATCTAGAACAGCCTCTCCCCTGGTAGCTGTCTCCACCTTCTGAAATAAAAGAATTGTCTCCAATACATTCCAAGAACTTTTGGATAATCTGTGCCCTGTTGTGTTATTTTCCCAGCAGATGTCTGGGTAGTTGAAGTCCGCCATCACCACCAAGTCCTGGGCTTTGGATGATTTTGTTAGCTGTTTAAAAAAAGCCTCATCCACCATTTCTTCCTGGCTAGGTGGCCTGTAGTAGACCCCGACCATGACATCACCCTTTGTTTTTACCCCTTTTGTCCTCACCCGGAGTCTTTCAACAGGCCTGTCTCCTATTTACATCTCAATCTCAGTCCAAGCATGTACATTTTTAATATATAAGGCAATACCTCCTCCCTTTTTTCCCTGCCTGTTCTTCCTGAGCAATCTGCACCCTTCTATAACAATATTCCAGTCATGTGTATTATCCCACCAGGTCTCTATGATGCCAGGTATGTCATAGTTGTATTTATTTACTAGCATTTTGAGTTCTTCCTGCTTATTCCCCATACTTTTCGCATTAGTATCCAGACATCTAAGATACTGATTTGATTCCGCCTCCCCCCACCCCCAGTTCTGTCTTGTCTCTCCTTTATCTCTGCTATAACAGCCCAGGCTCTCCTCAAATTCCAAACCGTATCCCAGGTCTCCATGTTCTTGACTTACCTGTGGGCTTTGGTCACCTGCCCCCTTCAAACCTAGTTTAAAGCCCTCCTCACTAGGTTAGCCAGTCTGTATCCAAATATGCTCTTCCCCTTACTCGATAGGTGGGCACCATCTCTGCTTATCAGTCCTTCTTCCTGGAACAGCATCCCGTGGTCAAGGAAGCTGAAGCCCTCCTGGCAACACCATCCTCACAGCCAGGCATTTACCTCCAGAATGCAGCTGTCTCTGCCAGGGCCCCTACCCTTGACCAGAAGGATTGATGCCCATCAAGAATCGGGATGGACTCCCAGCAAGAGATGCACCTCTTGAAGCCTGGAGAACCTGGCATACCCTGGGGCAATGGTTATTGTGAAGGGGGAAGGTTCCACCCTCCTTAACGTGAAAAGGGATCAAGAGAAATTTCCCCTAAACCACTTAATACAATAAAGAAATAAAATAATATAATAAAGAAAGATAACTAGACTACATTGTAGCCTTCAAATAGTAAGGCACACGAACGCTCCATCTCAGGCTGAGGCAGCTGAGAAAGACCTGAGAATGGTTCACCCAAGTTACCTTGCATAGCCTAGGACCAGGGCACGAGGAAGCGTAGGGAGCATGCGTGGGCCAAAGAGGCAGTACTGCCAAAAATCTCCGATCAAAGGCGTAAGGGGCGTGAGCACACCAGAACTGGAGGACCCACAGGACACTACTTGAAGAACATATTGTTCCAGCGCATTCCTAATCTTCATTTACTTTGCATGGGCAACAGGTGAGGCGCAAACATAGCTAGTTTAGAAGGATAGATACGATGAGGATAGGGACAGAAATGCCTGGATAGACAGGACGCTAAACAACTGCGGCAGAGCTGCTTACTACTCTCTGTTAAGGTTTAGTAAAACTGGTCACCTTCTTTACAGGTAATTGTATGCTTTGTAGTTTAATTTGGGTATGTCTAGCTGATATGGAGTTGAGCAGATTTCAGATGGGTACTCTACGGAATCTGTAATTAAATTATAGCAGGATCAGTTTAACTCCGCTCACTGGCCTACTGGTAAGGGTGGTAATCCTACCCTTTTTCCAAGATCTTGTACAAAGTTTTTAAAGGGCTTCAGTAGGACTGATGGATCCCATCTGAGGTCAGGCTACATGTACCTAAATCTAGACACGCTATAGTGCATTTGCTGCCCTTTAAAATCCATCCTCTCTTGTAGGGTAAATACTATTGATAGGGTCCTACCAAATTCACAGTTCATTCTGGTCAATTTCTCGTTCATAAGATTTAAAACATCATAAATGTAATGATTTCAGATATTTAAATACGAAATTTCACAGTGTTGTAACTGTAGGTGTCCTGACCCAAAAAGGGGGGGGGGGGGTTGTGGTACCGTTACCCTGACTTCTGTGCGGCTGCTGGCGGCGGCCCTGTCTTCCGAGCTGGGCGGCTGGAGAGCAACGGCTGCTGGCTGGGAGCCCAGGTCTGAAGGCAGAGTCGCCGCCAGCAGCAGCGCAGAAGTCAGGATGGCCTGGTCTGGTGTTCCCACCCTTACTTCTGTCCTGCTGCCTGCAGAGCTGGACCCTTGATCAGCAGCTGCCGCTCTCCGGCCACCCACCTCTGAAGGGAGCAGCGCAGAAGTGAGGGTGGCCTGGCACGGGATTGCCACCCTTACTTCTGCCCTGCTGCTGACAGGGCACTGCCCTCAGAGCTGGGCACCGGGCCAACAGCCGCTGCTCTCTGGCCGCTGAGCTCTGAAGGCAGCACAGAAGGGTGGCAATTCCGTGACCCCCTAAAATAACCTTGCAACCCCCTTTTGGGTCAGGACTCCCAGTTTGAGAAACACTGGCCTCCCCTGTGAAATCTGGATAGAATAGCGTAAAAGCACACAAAAGACCAGATTTTATGGGAGGAGAGCCGATTTCACGGTCCATGACACGTTTTTCATGGCCATGAATTTGGTAGGGTCCTAACTATTGAATAACACTGAGCTCTGAGATCATCCAGGAAAGGAAGTATCTTGAAAGGCTGGGGCTTTAGGCCCTGACCCTGTCTAATGATCCTTACTGAGCACACAGATTAGTATGGAGTTGCAGGCTTCCCTGTCCCGAGCAGCTTTGGTTTGTTCCATGTGACCTGTATTAATGACAGATGTGCATGCTCTCCTGGCTCTGGTATTTAATATAAACACACAATGAACTGCAGGCAGATGCTTTCATTCTGCATGTTATTGTGGAGCAGTAAATTCATGTTAAAACATCTTCGCTGTTTCATGTACATCTCAAATCAATTTTTCTATGGTCACCACACAGACAAGAGACCCCACAAGGATGGGACTAATTTATTAAATATTTGGCAGATGACAGAACATGGCTTCCAGTTTACAGATTTGTATTAGACACATTCCCAACATGTACAGAATCTCGTTTTTAACATTTATGTATGGAACACCCACACAGACATGCACTCAACCCCCCCCCCCCACACTTGCATGGACTTATTACACACACACGCACACAGACACAGTTGTAAATAGTACAGCCATTCCACAGTGGTCTCGAATCCCAAGGCAGATTTCTATGCAGTACATGGAAGAAAAGGGTTTGGTCCCTGCCAGCTCGACTTGTGGCCACCAGACCGGATGTGAATGAGCCTGGCTTTGTCTACATCTAGGTGCTACAAGTTAGCAGGGTCTCTGAAGGAACTGGACATCCACTGAGCACACACACGCTGAAGTACTGTACGAGTGGCTGAAGCCAATCTTCTTCCTTTTATACATCACTGACAGAGACAGTTTATGTGGAAAATAGCACGAGGGAGACCCCCGTCTGAGGGTACGCTGCTCCCAGTGCAGACTGCGCTGGCTGGGTCATGAAACTCCAGCTTCTGGTACCCAGGACTAAAGGGGAACTCTGCTCCCACCTCAGACGTTCACCTCCCCAACAAACACGAGGTGACACTGGCTGACGAACCCACGATTCCATCACAGAGCTGAAAAGTTTAGCTAGGACCAAAAAAAGGGTTCGTTTTAAACAGCAGTTCCCTTCCCTTGTGCAATGCTGGGCAGGGAGCCGGGTCAGCTCTGGCTTTCCTCATGGAATCTGTTGCTTTGGTTGGCCCCGCCCAGACAGCAGCTCTATAGACATTGCCATGGCAACTAACCTTGCATGTTGCCGTCCTGCTTCCACACCCCACCCGGGGCTCCCTCCCCAGCAGGCCAGGCAGGGGGAAGCGCTAATTCCTTCCCTGGGAATGGCTACGCTTTGCCCAGCTAGCGAACGGTTCTCGTTTTAAACCGGCAGTAAGATGCACTTCATAAAACCAAAGGAATTTTCCTTCCCTAGGTTAACAGCACAATGTACGAGCCTTCGCGGATTACTTGGAACATTTTATCATTCAATCTGACAGGCTGGTTGGCTGGGCTGAGCTGAGCGGACAAGGCGGTGCAGAAAGTGCACACCAACCTGTGTGTCTGGGTGTTCGCGCCCATCGCCAGGAAGGACGAGGCACCAGGGACATCAGAACCAGGGGACGGTGGGGGCTAGCAATGGAAACATGGGGGCTGATCTATATTTCTGCCCACACACATCATTCTGCTACACATCCTGGGAACCAATCTTCTCTGTAAACTGCATGCACATGGTGGGGGCTGGGGGGAGATGAAGGCAAGAGCGGGACCTGGAGTGTCTGCCGCACCCCTGGGATCAGGCTGGACAGTAAACAGGAACTGTAGTGATAGGGCCAGGACCAGGAGCAGCTATCCCTGGTGGCTGGCAAGAGACACGAACCTCTGGGACCTCCCTTCCCAGCCTGTAGCTGGCCACCCTCCTCTGCCCCCCTGCACTGAGTCTTACTCCCCATGCAGAGCGCCCATCCTGCTCCCCCTGCAATCCCTCCACCCCCCATTCAAAGTGAGCTTCCGCTACCTGTGGGAGGCATAATCTCCTCGCCACATCTCAGCCAGTTACAATCCTCAGACCAAGCGACAATTAATTGGGAGGCTTAGTCACCGCTCTTGTCTTTATGCTGCAGTTCTGCACTGTGGACATACCTTCCGGTCACCTTCACTACACCTGTTTACACATAGCATAGTCCTTGGTCTGTGGCTGTGTCTTCACTGGAGACAGCCTCTTCTTTAATGAGTATCCATGTAAAACAAGAATTGGGGACATAGCCCCCCACCCAGCAACGAAGTTTCAGCCCCAGAGCATGTTCAAGCGTCCCTTACAAACAGAGCAGAGCCGGGATAAACTGTACTTTGTATGTGTGGCACTTCGGAGGGGTCATTTCTTAGAGAACAGAAGTAGGCCAGACTGCAGGAGTGACACGCACTTGGGTGCAGACAGGGAGCCCAAGGCCCCACCACATGCAGAGGTTGCCATAGTGAGGCTGTTGCCACCCTATGGCATTGCATTGTGAAGACAAGAATGGGTCCTTTTGGCCCCCTTCCACAAAAAAAACAACCCTTCACTGTTTTGTACAGTATTTGCTCAAAAAATGGGCCCTTTTCCCAGTGAAAACAAGGCTACTTTCAATTAAAAAATAGGATGGATTGAGCAGAGATGGCTGCAAAATATGAATTTTTGCCTGTTTCCAGCGTGAAAACAGGCATTTTGGTCAAAGCTCACCAAGACGTGAAATAGGAGGAGGGTGCAAAACAAACAGCCAACATTTCCACACCAAACATCACAGAGACAAGGTCACCAGTTGTTGAGCTTCACTGGAGACGGACAATGATTTCTGCAAAACGTCTCTCTTCTCCTGAGTACCTAGCCAGAGCCATGGCGATACTGCACGTTAATGAGCAATGTGGCTTTGCACAATGGGCCTGATCAAAGCCTACTGAAGGTAATGCAAAGCCTCCCGTTGACTTCAATGCGCTTTGTATCAGGCCCTGTATCTTTTGCTCATGACTCTGATGTTATTACACATCCAGGAAAAAGTGTACAGGAACATGTGCAGAAAAAGCTCCACATCTGAAGGAAAAAAGGAAACATCTCTTTGGTGCATTTTTTCCCAATGGCAGCCTTTTGAAGCCGCTCAGGGGTGTGGAATGTCTGAAGGTGTCCCAGCAGAGATGGGCCAGAGGGCAGAGTGCGGGCGATACCTGCTTGACTGCAGTTCATTACATCAGTATCAATGCCGCATCTGTGTGGCCTGCTAGAGTTCTATAGGGTCTCTATATTACACACAGGATCAGAATTAGCTCTATTACATGGCTACTACTCCACTGACCTGGATGGAGTCGATCTGGTGTAGCAGAGAAGAATGTCACCGAGTCTCCAAAGGTTAAATTTTGAGTCCAGTGAGGACTAGCACAGATGGGTAGGACAGTGCTGTTTTCGCTGACATGTTAGAAACCGACTTAGTAAAGCGTGCGGGCATGTGTGACTAGCGTGGGGTAAAGCAAGGCCAGAGAAGACAGCCCTGTAAAATATATTAAAGCCTGGCCTGGAAGGTTGATCCCAGGGGCGTTAAGGCAGTTACTGCAAGGCAAACCATAGTTTATAAGCAGAGTTTCCAACGTTAGCATGTGTGAGTTATTTTCTTCCACATAACGGCATGTCATGTCACCACAGCAAGTGCTCTGCATTGGGGAGTGCAGAGCTATCCCAGGTGTCATGGCACATCACACAGGAATTATGCTGTGCTCACCAAGGGCTCGTCTACCCAGCGAGTTACTGCATGGCAAGCCACCGGGTGAATCTACCGCACTCCAGCTTGCCGCACAGCAACGTCCAGTGTGGGCGCTACTCCAGCACAGGGACTTTCACTGCGCTGAAGCCATGTCCCTGAGTGTGGCAAGCTGGTGTGCTGAAGATTCACACCCTGGCCTGCCGCCTAGTAACTTGCCATGCACACAAGTCCTGACATAAGTTCTCTCATGATGACATGCTGCAGGGGTTCCCAAAAGCTCTGGGCAACGGTACCCATTTAGTCACATTCAAAGCTTCCTCCTTCCCCTGAGCTGCTCATGCCATCAGGAGATGGGCATTTGGAGCAGTCTCATCTCCACGGCAGAGTGAAGGGAGAGCAAAGTGGCTGGAAGGTCGCTAGGAGGGCTCACCAAAGGTCTGAGTACCAATGAGCAGGACGCAGAGCTCTAGGTCCCCTCAGAGACATTCCTGTGTGACAGGTCATGACAACTGGCAATATCACAAGGTTGCTCTGCAGCCTCCTCGCCAGGTTCTCTTTAGGAATTGCTGGCTAGTGCTCCCTAGCAGCACTACGGCAACAGGATAAGGCTGGATGCAAACCTTGTTCCGGACTCAGCACAAATGGCAGTGAAGCTCCCGGGAGTGTACCAGGTTAATGAGGACAAATGTAACTGAAGTTTAGGCCTTAATGATCACACATGGGGAAATGGCCTTGGAGTTTGTAAATGACCCATTGGTGCTCTGCTTCCTGACACTTAATTCCCCAGTTCACCATTCCTACTTGAGGGAGAATTAAAATTGTAAGGTGCTTGGGGAAAAAAGCCACATTTTCCCAGCTACTCTAGCATGAGAGTGACATACAAATGGCTTCTGTGCAAGAGGTGGTCAGGTAAACCAATGCCATCCTCTCGGTATCACATCATGTAAGACAGGCTTACAGTATAACTGAAAATCAACCTGCAGACCCCCTCATTACAATAATATGAAGCATTTGCTGAATGCTTTGTAGACTAAAATATATGGCACTGTGGGTGAGGTAATCCAGAAGCATGGCACACAGGGTCACAATTAATATACACAGACTATGCACTGTCTCTGGCTGTAAAAGCCCATTGATCCTGTCAAGAGTTATACGAACAAAAAGCAGATGCCACAGCTTTCTGCAGAAATGACGTGTTTCACTGCACAGTGGAGCTTGCCTATTCAATCACAGAGTTCAGTGTAAAGAGAAGAGTAAGCCAACTCTCTAATCGTCTGATACAGAAAATGCTGTCACAGGTTCCTTAGCTGAGCTTACAACAGGCTAAGACGTGATCATTGTATTGTAATGTCTGTGGGCAAGTGAAATTAGCTTCCTGGAACTTTGATAGAGGAAATGCTCCTCCTTTTATAGTAGGCAGCAAACAACAAAACTAAGGAAGTGCCTTTGGTCCTGGTGGTGCTGCTCTGTGCTGCTCAATCGCTATTCCACTGAAGGGGGGTTATCATAACCTCTCGCTATCTGCAACCTGTGATCAAAGCACCCTGACTGTCCTTCGGGATGGAGGGTGCTATAGATATGTAGCATCACCATCATCATACTATAGTTACCTCATCTCCCAGCTTGCACACACTAGGGCCTTATCTGTACTAGGATATTTCCCACCACAGTTACCACTAGTTCAACTCTACTGGTGAGAGCCCCAGTGTAGATAAGGTGGTGGCAACCACTGCTGTTTTAACCACTGTCATGTAGATCTGTTACAGTGTAGACAGCCTATAGGGACAGATAGTCCCTTTCTTGTAGGGAGAAGTGTATTCACCTCCAAGAGCTGCAAAAACTACCAGCTAGAGTGGAAGTTTCAGCCTCTAAATATTAGACTAATGGTGGCAAAAAAAGTGAGGCGGTGGAAAATGAATAAAAAGGAAAAACTTAAAAAAAGGACGAGCAGCTATTTGGTTTGTCCATGCACCTTGCTTTCATGCTGTAATCATGTGGCAGAAAAGCTGCATTATGCACTGTTGTTGTAGCCATGTCGGTCCCAGGATATTAGACATGGTGGGTGTGGCACTAGCTTGAAAGCTTCTCTCTCACCAACAGAAGTCGGTCCAATAAAAGATATCCCCTCACCCACCTTGTCTGTCTAGAAAAGCTGTAAATCATAGTCACTGGCTGATGTACAGCGTCTCCCCTTCCACTGTAACTCTGACCCAGATTTCTCATTTAGGGGAGAAAAACATATGTTTTCATTTGGAACATCCTAAAGGCAAAAACTTTCACCTACTCCTCTCCCAGACTTACTGTACCACATACTGCCTATTTCCAGCTTATCTTCAGCATCCACCAAGGCCTATTCTAGTTCACAATTCATATTTCCTTCCACAAAGATTTCCGCACACAGCTTTGGCAGTGGTTATTGAAGTTAAATGTCAAGAGGACCTTTGCCTGTCTGAAAGCAGGCTTGGTGGGTGTGACAGAGTGATCCCAGGTACTTGATGCTGTTGCTGGTCCATTCACAGTTGGAGCAATGGAAACTTAGAATCATAGAATATCAGGGTTGGAAGGGACCTCAGCAAGTCATCTAGTCTAACCCCCTGCTCAAAGCAGGACCAATCCCCAATTTTTGCCCCAGATCCCTAAATGGCCCTCTCAAGGATTGAGCTCACAACCCTGGGTTTAGCAGACCAATGCTCAAACCACTGAGCTATCCCTTCCCCCCTTATCAGATGCCAGCATTTTACTAATCTGACCTTCGGCATCAAGGTGGTAAGTAGGGGAAGAAGTGCATGAAAATCAAGGACAAAAAAGAGGGTCCACAGTGAAGATACGATGAAGCCACAGTCAGAATGTCTCTAAGCCCCGATGGCCTCCTGTCTATACCGGCAGGTCCTTGAGCAGGCCACTAGCAAAACTTTCATCCTTTAAAATTCCAGCACACACATCCCTTTCTTGCATCTGTATAGCCGCAATCAGAGTAATGTCTGGGTAACGATTCAGCTAATCATACTGAAAGCGTACAAAGACAGCTACGAACCCTTCCAAGTGTGTGGTGTTTGGCAGGCTAAAGCTAACTCACTTTTCTTTCCTTCTTGACAGCTCATTCACAATATTTATATTTGACTAAACCTGTGGCCACCATGTATGTTTATTTTCTCTCCCCCAAAGAGTTATAGGTACCTAACGAGCACTTTCCTCCCAGAACCAGCATTGCATCTCGGATGAGACAGGGAGAAAAGCTGGGAGTTGGTTTCAGGGTTTATCACTCCATTCCATTCATCGCCCTTGATAAATATTTATAGATGCATTAGGGCACTCAGCTCTTCTGCTAAAAATAACATTCCTAAGCACCAAGAAAAAAGTAAAATAAAATAAAATCACTAGTGATTGGAACTGATTACAATGTTTTCTAAGTAGCTACAAAACTAGAGTCTAGCAAGGATCCAGGTAGTAGTGAGTTTCAAACCTCCAACTACACAATGTTGTTATTTCTCCTTAAATTTAAATAAAAATATACTTGCTTCTTGCAAATGAATGTGCAGGCACTAATCTGAACCTAGCAGTGGTCATCCCTGAATTCCCTTGCTTGCCAAGAACCATTCAAGTAATTTTTAACAGAGTCTAAACGAAAAATACACAGAGTTGGGAATCCCCAGGAGGCATCTCATCCAAGTTTTATGGTCCTAATTACAGCCATTCCCCTCTCCTTGCTCTGCATTCCTCTACTCTTGGCATGCCCTGTCATTTACTCTCAGAATGACATGCAGTATCAAACACTATGGCAACCAAACATTAATAGACAGAGTGGTATTTTTAGAAAGTGTGTGTTTTTAAAGGATTTGTACTCAGAGTTCCCTTTGTATTACACACAGGAAAACTCAAACGGTTTAAAATCCATTTTACATGCACATCCAAGATCAAAGGTCATGAGTGAAACCACCAGCGCATGATGAGATGACACTGCTCGGGTAGGAAATCAGAAGAGATCAGTGCACTTTACAAGAGAACAGTTTTCTTTTGAAACCTTCCATAAAAACACTTTGTTGAATTTTTGATGGGGCATTGTCCGATTAGCATTGGCAAACACCTATGAAAATAGTACATGCAATAATCTAAGAGGAAAATGCCCAGAGGGAAAGCGCTTCAGTCAGTTAAAAGAAAGCTGCTTTCCCTTCCCTTTCAGCAGGTGGTTGGTTGTGATCTTTCACAGTTGCACAATGGTGTATGTATCAGTTGAAACATGCCTCTTCCAAAGGATGTGGAGACTTCGTTAGAACATGAGCTCGCTTCATAACCCTCTGTGCCTGTGCCATTGGAAATACACACAACAGTTAGTGAGAAACACTTTCCATATGGACAGCATAATTCAAACTTGTGCATATGTTATAAGGAAATGACAGTTACTTACCAGTAACTGGAGTTCTGCACATTCACATTCATGGGATCAGGGTTTCTATACTGTGAGCTTCCAGAATCTTCTGGCAAGCAGTGTCTGTTGGGGCCACTCACCCCCACCCCTGGAAGTGGGTCCAACCACTCTTCAGTTCCCTCCTAGTACCAGAATTCCTACTCTAGGACTGTCATGAACTGGGGAAACTGGGATGGGGAGTGTGAATTCTCCAGTCAGCAGTGCCAGGTCCTCAGTACTACACTAGGTCAGAGTCGAAGTGTGCTGGATCCTTGGCACCGGACTTAGCTGACCAGGATAGATCCAGAGACCTGCCATCTATGCCAGTCAGACAGCCTGTATGGAGAACATCTCTCCAAAGTCGCTGCTGGACTTACAGAAACCAGCCTTAGACAACAGTCCGAAGAGAAGTCCCTGTCAGCAAGGGGGCGAGGCAGCTCTCCAGCCTTTGAAGGTCCTGACGTTGCCCCTGTTGCATGGACTTTCCTCCTCTCTTTTACACAAAGCCTGACTAACTGCCAATCTAACTGCAAAAACAGCTTCCAAGGGGCAGAAAGAAGAAAAACCAACAAGGGAATCGTCGAGGACACTGGGTGGGATCGGAGCCCACTGAACTTTGCGTGGCCAGACAGAATGGAACTGGATTTACACCCTCAGGAGCCTTCATGAGGGGCAGGGAACAGCAACAACACCGCTCACCAGAAGATTCCAGAAGCTCATGGCATAGGTACCTTGATCGCACACGTGGGAATGTGCAGAGGCCACTTGAAGGAGAACAACTAGATTTTAAAGGTGACTTGTAAGTTATTCTTCTTTAAAAAGGGCTTGGGTCCTTTTTTGAGTCACCATGAAGGACACAGAAAGCCTGGAAGGGGACTGGTTGGTATATTTCTATTTGTTTTTTAATATAGCAATGCCAGGAATGTCAGCTCTGGTCCTTCCCAGGTTTGCTGGAGGACCTGTTGGGGGCTGCAGAGGATTGTTAGCGTTCAACTTTACACGGATGGTTGAAGGTGTTGAATCTTTAACAGAGATGTTCTTCTCTCCAAAATGGTAGCTAATCATTGTAAGTAATTAGGTATTAACAAAAACAAACAAAAAGTGTTTTTAAGCAGTCTGGTTAACAATCCCCTCCCCTCACCACTGCTCGACTTTCAACCTTGTGATAACTCTCCAGTTACCAGACACGTTCCCAGGCTAAACAGGAGCTGAATTTCTAATGTAAAAACAACCCTCCTCCTCCCCAGAATCCTCCGCTGCTCTCAGGCTGCCTTAATCCATATAAAAATCCCAACCCCCCAAAAATGCACAGGCCCCATTTTTCTCCCGTTGCAAGTCACCTTAGATGACAATTTTGGTTTTGCTGTGTGGACTGAGAAACTTTTTTCACACAGCCCACTGAACAGATGTTAAGGACTTGGGCCCACTATGTACATGGGCTGAGTTTGAACTGCTAACTTAGAAGATAAAGTCTGTTTTTCTCCTGCCCACTTCTCATAGCTCTAGTCCTCTGACCTGGTGTGGCCTGGAAACAGAAACCTGGAAATGAAAGACTGCATATCCCATTCCCAGTCCCCTGAGCTAACCACTTCTGGATTATGATGTGTGTCTCCCAGGTGATGTTTCTCTGCTACAGAAGTTCTCCCCTTTCCTCACTGAACATGGTGAAAGATCACCTTTTGTGGGTATGCCAAATATCATGTGACGGCCTCCTACAGGCTTTTCACATGGGGGAAGATAAAGATCTTATTCAGGTTTTTCAGGGGCATCATCAACACAGGATCCAGTCTTTTACTGTTACGGTTATCGCACCCTTCCCCACCACCTGTGATGTCCTTTTATAAGCTAGATTGTGAGCTCTCTGGGTTAGGAACTGTATTTTTACTGCATGTTTGTACAGGTAACTAGAGCAATGGGTCCTGTTGCCTGACCTAAGCCTCTAAGTGCTCCCGCAGCACGAACAATAAGAGAATAATGATCCTCAACCTGCTCTCACTGAAGTTAATAGAAGTTTTCCCACTAATTTAAATGGAATTATGATTGGGTTTTAGAGTGAAAACCTGACACTTTAAAGAGGATGTGCAGTAACAGACCAATGGGGAATATTCTCCATCTTGTACATGAATATAAATAAGGAAAAGAACAATGTCAGGTTATGAGTGAGTCAGTCATATCCATTACAGCAGCATGAATGGAGCAGGGTCTTTGGGAAGAAGAAAGATCCCCATACTTACTTGAATTACTGTACAGTCTGGGTTCTTCCATCTAACCTGCAACACATGGGGAGAGGGGGAGGAGGGGGAAATTTATAAGGCAGGTAACTGACTGCAACAAAATGAAAAAAAAAACCCAACCAATGTTGCACTTATAGGGCACCTCTCATCCCAGGAATGCAAACTTTACAGACAATGAATTAAGTCTCTCAAACTCCTTTGGGGTATGGAAGGTAAAGAACAGTTACTTACCTTATAGTAATTGTCTTTCTTCAAGATGCGTTGTCTACATGGATTCCACTCTACGTGCACTCCATGCACAAGAGATCACATTATTTTGGCTGGCAGTGTCCATTGGGGCAAGACCTGCACCCTAGATGTCCTCACCACCCCCACCCGAGAGCATAAAGGGAAGAACAGTCCTAACAGCCCCTCAGTTACCTCACCAATACAGAATCCCAGAGGAGTAGGACTCCATAGTAGCAGAGAAGGAGGGTGGGTTGTGGAATCTTTGTGGACAACATATTTTGGAGAACGAGTTATCAAAGGTAAGTAACCATTCTTTCTTCTTTGCGTGATTGTCCACATGAATTCTACTCTTGGTGACTAACAAACAGTTATAAATTCATGGTACTCCCCATCTTGAATACTGCGTGCAGATGTGCTCGCCCCTTTTAAAAAAAGATATATTGGATTTGGAAAAGGTTCAGAAAAGGGCAACAAAATGATTAGGGGTATGGAACAGCTGCCATGTGAGGAGCGATTAATAAGACTGGGACTTTTCAGCTTGGAAAGAGATGACTAAGAGTGGATTCGATAGAGGTCTATAAAATCATGGTTGGTGTGGAGAAAGTGAATAAGGAAGAAGTGTTATTTACTCCTTCTCATACCACAAGAACTAGGGGTCACCAAATGAAAACAATAGGCAGCAGATTTAAAACAAACAAAAGGAAGTGTTTTTTTCCCCACACACTGCACAGTCAACCTGTTGAACTCCTTGCCAGAGGATGTTGTGAAGGCCAAGACTATAACAGGGTTCAAAAAAGAACTAGATAAGTTCATGGAGGAGAGGTCCATCAATGACTATCAGCCAGGCTGGGCAGGGACAGTGTCCCTAGCCTCTGTTTGCCAGAAGCTGGGAATGAGCAACAGGGGATGGATCACTTGATGATTCCCTGTTCTGTTCATTCCCTCTGGGGCACCTGACCTTGGCCACTGTCAGAAGACAGGATACTGGGCTAGATGGACCTTTGGACTGACCCAGTGTGGCCGTTTTTATGTTCTTGTGTACTGTTTGCTTAGAGGTGGGTAATAGGAGTCCTACTTAACCAGTGACTTCAGGACAGCGCTACTAAAGCGGACATCCAATTTGGAAGTCTCTACCAAAGAACAGCATCTTGTGAATGTAGAACTGATATACATGTAGCTGCTCTATAGATTTCGGAAATAGGGACATTCTTCAAACAGGAAACAGAGGCTGCCTGAGCTCTAGGGGAATGAGTTCCAACATGAGGAGGTTGCTCTAATTTGGAAAACTCGTAACATGTTCTTATACATGTGGAGACCCATTTAGAGAATTTCTGAGAGGATACTGCCTTATATCCTATCTGCAAAGGCTACAAGGTGTCAAAGTCTAGGTGTGCTCCTACATGAATTCATCTTGTTAGGGTAGTATGATTAGTACAATAATGCCCTTACTACTATTTCATGATGTTTAGCTTCCCCTGGAATTGAGTGAGTGTTAGGGAATAAAAATGGGATATGAATAAATTGGTTCTTGTGGAACTCCAAACTACTGCAGGCAGGAACATGGGATGAGGCCTAAGGATGACCCTGTCCTTATGAGACATGATATAAGAGGGACCCACCACAAGGTTCTCTCCCCTACCCTTCGAGCTGGTGTAAAAAGTTATTTTAAAAGGTAGCCTTCATTGGTAAGTGATGTAGGGAACAGTTTACTAAGGGCTCCAACAGGGGACATAAGAACAGTCACACTGCGTCAGACCAAAGGTCCATCTAGCCCAGTGTCCTGTCTTTTGACGGTGGCCAATGCCAGGTCAGGCTTGACAAAGCCCTGGCTGGGATGATTTAATTGGGGATTGGTCCTGCTTTGAGCAGGAGGTTGGACTACATGACCTCCTGAGGTCCCTTCCAACCCTGATATTCTATGATTCTATGATTCTTTAATCAAATGGAGAACGACATACGAAGAACCAGTGGCACTGTTTTATGGAGCCCAAGTGCCTGGGATGGAATCTCAGCTCTCTGTGTGCCCCTGGAGAGAAACTATGGGAGGACTGATGTTTAGCTGCATCTTTCCTTTCAGGGTCTGAGGAGGAACAATTTTAGGTAGACTTCTCTAGCTTTAGGAGTTTGTTTTCAGTAGGAGCAACTTATGGACCACTGGCTCCGGGACATGTCCCTCTCCAAGACAAAACAAGCATTGGGAATGCCCATCTTTAAACGTCATTGAAGCTTCAGGTTTTGAACCCTAAGGATTTTGGTTCTGACATCGTATTAGAGACCCTCTGTGGGGAGTAGGGATAGAGGTGGTCCTGGCTTAAAAACTAAATATCTGATTTTAAAATGTTTGGTTTTTTTGGTGCCAGTAGCAAAAAGACTAACAGTACTAACTAACTGTACTAAAGACTAACTATCACCAGGACATCTAGGGCGCAGGCATGTGCTCATCAAATACTGCTGGCCAAACTCTCATGCCTGGGTGCGTGTTCACCCCACACAGGACTGGAAGGGGCTAAGGTGACCAGGTAGACCTATTAACTGCACCTGCAGGAAGAGCCAGGAAGCAGGGAATTGAGGGCAAGCAGGTTCAGCTGGGCAGGAACAGGCATGGCCCATTAACACCTCTGCAGTCATAGGAGAAAAAGGGGGTCAGAGAGCTACAGATCGTTGTAATAAGCCATATATCCAGTGTCTCTGTTCAGTCCATGATTTTTAGTATCTAGCAGAGTAATGAATTTAAGTTGCCAGGCTCATCTTTTGAAAGTGTTGTGCAGGTTTCCTTTGACTGCGAAATCCTTAACAAACATCACATCCACCATAATCTCTCCATTGCGGAGAGGACAGCCGTGAGGTCCCTGAAATCTAACCACTGGACAGTGATCAAAGCAGCAGACAAAGGGGGTTCCACTGTATTTATCAATCGTGATGACTACATTAACAAGGCCAACCCACAGCTGTCCAATACTGCCTACTATGAAGAATTTAGAGAAGACCCCACACCACAATTTACCCAGGAACTTATGGATGTCATCAAATCCTTCCCCCAAACAACTCCAAGAGAAACTCTACAAACACATCCCCCACAAACTCACCCAGGGACCTTCGACATGCTCCCAACATACACAAGCCAGGGAATCCTGGCAGACCCATTGTATCTGGCCACAGCACTCTGACTGAAGGAATATCAGGACTCATAGAAACCATCCTCAAACTACTCACCACAGAAAGGGCCAACTACCTCCAGGACACAACCGACTTCCTCCTCAAACTCTGCAAAATTAACAGCATCCCTCAGAACACCATCCTCACCACCATGGATGTCACTTCCCAATACACCATTGTCCCTCACAATGACAGCATAGCTGCCTGCCTCAAATATTTGCAAGTCAGTGGACAACCCCCTAAAGCCCCTCTGACCTCACACTACTGGTGGTCACCTGCCACCTCACACTGGAGCCCAGATGCAGTATCATCGAACAACTACAACCCATATGCGATGGGGACCCCATTCTGAAAGAAAACTTTCCTGAACCCCTACTTCTGGCCTTTAAACAACCCCCAACCCCTCCAAGCTCATCATCAGAAACAAGCTCCCCAAAGACAAGGACACCAATTCAAAGTGACACCAGACCCTGTCAGAGCAACAGATACAAAACCTGCAGACATTTCTCCAGTTCTACAACGATCAGCACCTCACACTGCATACTTTTCAAAATCCATGGGTCCTACACATGCCTATCACAACATGTGATATACCTCATCCAGTGCACTAAATCCCTCAATAAGAACTATGTGGGTGAAACCAGACAATCACTCTGCTCTCAAGTGAACTCACATGGGAAAATGATAAAAGACAAAAACTCCCTATCCCCTGTGGGTAAACACTTTTCACAAAGCGATCACTCTATATCTGACCTCTCAGGCCTCATCCTCAAAGAAAACCTGCACAACACTCTCAAAAGACAAGCCTGGGAGCTTAAATTCATTACTCTGCTAGACACTAAAAATCATGGACAGAACAGAGACACTAGATATATGGCCTATTACAACAATCTGTAACCCACCAACCCCCTCTTTTTCTCCTATGACTCTACCTTGAATGGTTTCTTACAATAGATGCTAACGACTTATGTTAAACAATCTGTTTCACCTTGCATTTTGCTGTGATGCGGGGAGTTCCTTCCCCAGACCAGAAGAAGAGCTCTGTGTGGCTCGAAAGCTTGTCTCTCTCACCAACAAAAGTCCAATAAAAAATATTACCTCATTGACCTTGTCTCTCTAATGGTAGCCCAGCAAGTCAAGAAGGACTGGGAATTATGTATTGGCAAAGTCAGTTCAAACATTAGCCGAGGGTTCATTGTGTACTGAAGGCATAGGCAAAAATGGTACCTAGAAGTTACTGCAGTAACTGGCATGCTAGAAATACATGCACAGATTAAAAAAAGATTAGCGAATGTAGGGTAAATGAAACAGATTACTGCTGGTGGACTCAAACAACTACTTCTTACTGTTCAGTGATGACTCATAAGAATCTTCAAACTCCCTCTCTTCCCCCTATTTTCCATGCAAGGTACATTACACATTTGGAAAAAGAGAGTGAACATCTAATAAGCATCCAAAATATCTAATTAAAGAAAAAGATTCTAGGGATAAGAGCCTTGTATGATTTAAAGCCAACACGATATTACCTTCAAAAACTGTTGATTTCACTGAAGTCAGACGTGTTATTGCTAGTAAAAGAAAACCCAAAAGCCCAAACAAGCCTATCATTTCAACTAGTGATGGGCAAACTTCAGAGGAGTCAGAGAAGCCCCAAACATCTGGCTGCTCCTGTAACCCTAAAACCCCCACAATACCAACTGGCAAAGGGTTCACTATTCTGTAACAGCAACTCCTGTCAGGCCTGACAAACTCACTACACCTGACACTGCTTTCAGAGTATTTACCCAAGTGTCTTGTGAGGTATCAAACTAAAGCCAACACCACACTGCTTATAATATTACTATGAAATGTATATACTGACATTATACAAGGAATCTTCTTTGCTTGTGTATAAAAATTATGCTTTCAAGTCTGTAACAAGGCAGAGTGGATGAACAGGTCATCTGCCAGACAAAAGCATGTCTCTTCAGCTATCCCGGTCTCTGAGGTAAATTAAGCGTTGTAAAGACGACACAAAGGAAGCCCCATTTCAATGTCGAGTCAACAGGAAAAACAGGTTAATGAGGGATGCAAACTCAACAGGTGAGCACCCCAGAGTATGAACCCCAGGCAGTTACCCTGACTCTGGGAACAAGGAGAACAGCCTTTGGGAAATATACGGAGAAGCAAAAGGACATGGTTATCCATTTCACTGAGCACACCCTTGGCAGAGGGGGATGGTTTGGGAAGGAATGGATCCTGGATTCAATGAAAACCAGTAAACTCTGCAGAGAGACTTTGAGGGTGAGAAACTACATTAGACAAGGGTTGTGGTCTACTAAGTCTTAGACTTGGTCTACACTAGCAAATTAGGTCTGTTAACTAAGTTGGTCAGGGATGTGAAAAATCCACACCCCTGATTAGTGCAATTAAGTCAACCTAAGACCCTGTGCAGTTATTCCGTCGATCTAGCTACTGCCTCTCAGGGAGGTGGATTACCTACGCCCATGGGAGAGCCCTTCCTGTTGGCATAGGTAGTGTCTACACTGAAGTGCTGCAGCAGTGCAGCAGTGCTGGTGCAGAGTTTTAAGGGTAGACAAGCCCGTAGTCTCTAGAATGAGTGTTACACTTCTGTTGTGTTTGTAACCATTTCTGTTTCCATTATTCTTACTCAATACTAACTTTAATCTGTGACTCTCTGTTCTTTGTTGTGTGGCAAGATGGCCGATGTTAGTATGGTGGGTCCTGCGCTTTTCTTGGCAGGGGGGCTAAGACGCCACCTCTTGCCCCTGCTCTTGGGCCACTGAGGTCCCCGCTAGTGGCCCAGGAAAGTGGTAGAGGAGGGAAGTGGGGGAGGGGTCTGGGTTTGCTCCTCACTCTGAGTCCCAGCCCCTCTCAACCCCCGCGGGTTCTTACCCTCTTCCCCTTTGGGTGGGGAACCTTTGGTCCTTAGACGCTGTGGGAGGGAGTCTCCCTCGCCTGCCGGGGCAGGGTCTCCCTGACTTCAGTTCTCTGGTTTTTCAAATCTTACAACACACCTCCAAGCTCCAGTCCCTCTCTCCTTCCTCCTCCTCCCGTGACTGCCTGAAGCAGGGGGTTTTATTAGGTTCCTGACAGGGCTTAATTGACTGCAGGTGCTCCACTTAACCTGTAGCAACCCTCCCTAGTCTACAGGGAACCACACCTTAATTAGCCTAGGGCTTATATATTTCCCCTCTACCACTGCTCCCTAGCCCTCCTGTAACACAGCTGATAAATATATTTGTTTTTACTATACATAGATTGACATAAAGTGTGAAACCTGAATCATAATCTTCCAGCTGTGTATCTCTCTTTGGGAGGCAGCTTACTTGGTAATTTCTGTGAGCGTCCAGTGACAGGGGCTGGATGCTGCAGGGGAATGCTCTTCATGAGAGGCGCAGGGATTTGGGTGCGTCTAAGGCAGTCTGCAAAGCAAGATAGGCCTGACAGAGTCCTGAGGACAGTGTCTGAATGGTTTAAAGGCTGGTGCTGTACAAGAGGTGATACCCAGCTACCATAAGAAAAAGTCCCTCACGCTGGAGAAAGGAGGTAACAAGGTGACTCTCAATTCTGGGTGCCCTGAGAAAGGGTCACACCTTCTCAGTACCTATTTGGCCTGGAGATCTTGTGAGAACAGTCTCTTGTGTGAAATGTCATCCCAGCCAGAAGCAGGAAGTGAAGAGGTGCACGGAAAGATAAAGAATAAAAATCCAACATTGTCAAAGCTCAGCAAAGATTTGTCTCAGGTGAGACATGAATGTTTGGACTGATACTTGTCTAATCCAAATCTCTTTGTCCAACCTTAATTTAAACGTGGAAAGTGCGAGCAATCAGCTCCACAAGCAAATCAGTGTCACACTTAGGGGCACAGCCTGAACTGAAGAACCTCAGTGCAATCGAGACTCAGTGCAACTACTGTAAATTCCTTTCCTGGCAAAGAGGGAAGAAGAGGTGGTGGCAAATACCTTCACCCAAGCACCCATGGCCACACCAGGATAAGGGGTTTTCTGTTCAGTCATTTGAGGAAGGCACAGGTGAAACCCCCAAACCAAAGTCCAGTGACTGGTATTCCACTCCCCACACCGCTCGCCTGGGTTTTCTTTCTCCTGAGCCCTGTTGGATAGGGGATCATTGGTCCACCCGCACAACAATGTTGTGACAGCCCCACGTTACTTCCACATCCTTAGAAGCCAGAGGAAGAGCTGCCTGGGGAGGATTAGTTCTAGCTACACTTAGAATCATGGGATTAGACCTACTGTAAGAGGCCTCATTTTGCCGCCTGTGCAGGATTGTTCTCAGCAGAATATTGCTGAACACTGTGTCCAGACATGTTTTAAAAGCCTCAACCCACAAGGCTTTTCTGCTTCCCTTGGGTGACAATTCCACAGCCTCGCACACCCGATTTCCAGAAACTTTCCTGATAATTCAGCCTCCATTTTCTATATCTAACCTCACACCATTAAAAGTTCCTCTTGTACCATTCAGAGTAACTCCTTTCCTGCCATGCTTATACTTGTACATGACCACTTGCTGAAAGAAAATATTTCAATACATCTGAATACAGAGACAATGGAAACCTGGACATTACTAGTGTCCCAAGCAATGGCAGAAATGGAGAGAGCAAACACATAACAGGGCAGCGAGAGGAACAGAAAGACAAGCCTGATGGGCCCAGATGAGTGTCTGGAGGAGGTGTAACAGCAACAAGGAGCCTCCATAAACTGCCCAAACCCAAAGCCGTTACATGAACACCTCTGCAGTGCTTGGCACACTGAAGTGGAGACTTTGCAGACACACTCTGATCTCAGACACAGAAATAAATGGGAAAAGTGTTTTACAGCTGAGATCCTTTTACCTCTGTCCTTGCCATTCTGCATCTTTTCCTCTTCTTCTTCACCTACTTCCTCTGCTTCAAAAACAAACAAATGTCAGACAAACACGCATGGAAACGAGTTGCTAGAAAGCGGTTTTCTATAGGAGGGAGCTTACTAAGAGCCACATTGGCTTGTGAGACTCACACTGGGAAGAGGGAAGGGGCTGTGCTGGAGTGGGAGCCCTCAGGAGTACTTCAGACCGACTAAGCTGGAATTCTTTCATGCTGTAGTGGCAGCCGCACCATCCATTCAATTGGCAGAGCGTATGCTCCTTCTACCGACCGGTTTAATGACTTCCATTTTCACATTCACCCCAGCAGGGGGCAGTGCCTGCACTTGCCTATAGGACTGTGTCTGGCCACGTGTAGCATGATATACAAAGACCATCGGTCCTCTTGTGCACCTGTGCAGCCACTGTTGAGCCGTCAAAGAGACTCAGAGTTATATAACCCAAACAACGGGACACTGGGGAATAGGTCAGACACAGAAAGAAAATGGAGACTTACCTGTTGGGTCACAGTTGTTCTTCGAGATGTGGGTGCAGATGTGTATTCTGCTCAGGTGTGTACTGCCTTGTGCACTGCGAGCTGGAGACTTTTTACCACTGCTTGAGACAGTGCATATGCCTTATACCTCCTCATGGCCCTTCCTGAGGCTACATTAAGGTGGTTCCACCCTAACCACGCTCAGTAGTACTCCAACAAACTCGAGTCTCTGGGCAGGAATCAGTGCAGACTTTCCTCTGTTCAGGATAAGATGAAGGTGATTGAACAGGTGGATGATATAGTCAATGGATGGCAATGGACCTGACTGTGAGAGAACCCCCAGCCAACCATCATGGTAAGGGAAGACATGTATCCCGTTCCTCCTAGAGAAGGCCACCACACATTTGGTGATGACAGGCCAAAGGGGAGTACCATGTACTGATGATGACAAGTCTGAGGAATTTCCTGAGGCAGGGTAACACAGCTATACTGAAATATGTGTCTAAAAGAACAAGGGCAGCCAACCAACCATTGCCATCTAGAGAACGGAAGATTGAAGCTAGGGTAAGCAGGCGCAATCTCACTTGCTTGATGAACTTGTTGAGAGCCCAGGGATCCAGAACAGTCTCAGTTCCACTCTTGTGTTTGGAGATCAGGAAAAAGATTGGGGGAACTTACTCTGTGCCCCCAAGGTGAGGAGAGCTTGACCCTCCTGAAGGAGCACAGACTCATGAGATGGGTCCCTGAAAAGGGACAGAGAAGGAGGGTAGGGAGGAGGGGTGGAAATGAATGGGACTGAATATCCCAGACCCATAGTACTTAGGACCCACTTGTCTAAAGATATTTGTTCCTATGGGCTGAGGAAGTGGGATAATCTGTCCTCACACTTAGAAGGGATGTGTAGATCATTGTTGGTTGCTATGCTGTCCTCAAAAAACAAGTCCAAAGAGTTGTGTCCCTACAGGAAGTTGAGAGCATGGTGTGTTAGTGGTAATGTTAGATGACCTTCTTTTCTGAAGCCTCTCTCTACTCCAAGAAGCATAGTATCATCTGGGAGGACAGAAGAGCTGTCCATGAAAATAATCTGAATATTTCTGCAGGGGCTTGTACTAACGCTTCTTGGAGGCTGGAAGATAAACCCCCAGGGAGCGGAGAGTCACTCATGAATCTTTAAAAGAGAAACACCTCATCTGGCTTGTCAGGAAATACAAACTGTCCATCAAAAGACAGAATTTCAGTGGTTTGCTGGATATCTGGTGCTATCCCGGAATTAAATAACCAAGATGCCCTCCTCTTGATGATGGCAGTGGTCATTGCTCTGGAAGAATCACACATTATGTTGACAGTAGATTGTAGTGAGGTCTTTGCCACAAGCAAGCGCTTTGTCAAGAAAGCTTTGAACTTCTCTCTTGAGTTGTCTGGCAATTTGTCCATGAATTTAGACATCACCTTCCACTGAAAGAGCTTGCTGGTTGTTATTCTCTCCTGGAGTGAAGCAGTAGCACACATTTTCTACCTAATGCGTCCAGTCTTTCAGGTTCTTTTTCTTTTGGGGTAGAATTAAATCTTCCTTATGGTGTCCTCGCATTAACCACAATTAATGAGTTGTGGGTTTTGGTGTGAAATAGACACACTCCAGCTTCTGGGAAGGGACATAATATTGCTTTTCTGTTTGCTTGGCTATTGGGGCTAGTGATGCTGACGTGTGCCACAAAGATTTAGCTGTTGATAAGAGGGCATATGTGAGGACCTGGGGACTAGAACCCAGGCCTGCAGAGGCACAACCAGTGGAATCATAGAATCATAGAATATCAGGGTTGGAAGGGACCCCTGAAGGTCATCTAGTCCAACCCCCTGCTCAAAGCAGGACCAATTCCCAGTTAAATCATCCCAGCCAGGGCTTTGTCAAGCCTGACCTTAAAAACCTCTAAGGAAGGAGATTCTACCACCTTCCTAGGTAACGCATTCCAGTGTTTCACCACCCTCTTAGTGAAAAAGTATTTCCTAATATCCAATCTAAACCTCCCCCACTGCAACTTGAGACCATTACTCCTCGTTCTGTCATCTGCTACCATTGAGAACAGTCTAGAGCCATCCTCTTTGGAACCCCCTTTCAGGTAGTTGAAAGCAGCTATCAAATCCCCCCTCATTCTTCTCTTCTGCAGGCTAAACAATCCCAGCTCCCTCAGCCTCTCCTCATAAGTCATGTGTTCTAGACCCCTAATCATTTTTGTTGCCCTTCGCTGGACTCTCTCCAATTCATCCACATCCTTCTTGTAGTGTGGGGCCCAAAACTGGACACAGTACTCCAGATGAGGCCTCACCAATGTCGAATAGAGGGGAACGATCACGTCCCTCGATCTGCTCGCTATGCCCCTACTTATACATCCCAAAATGCCATTGGCCTTCTTGGCAACAAGGGCACACTGCTGACTCATATCCAGCTTCTCGTCCTAGTCACCCCTAGGAGACTAGGGGCCGCAGGAAGTACTGCTCACGAGACCCAGAGTGACAGTCCTTGTGGCCCTCTGATTGGCCAAGAGCCCCAATTTAATCCCAGTGGTTGCCCCAGGAAGGTATCTAGCTAAGTACACAGACTTTGCCCTGCTGCAACACCAGACTTTGCCTTGTCTCCTGATCTCTGGTCTCTGATGCCAGTCTGACTTCAACCCTGACTCCTGATTCTAGCCCAGTACTGCCTCTGGTCTCCAATGGCAGCCTGACTCTGACCCCAACTCCCGCCTCTCGGTTCTGACCCAGTACTGCCTCTGGTCTCTGACCCCGGCCTGAGTCTGACCCCGATTCCTGCTTCTCAGTTCTAACCCGGTACTGCTGCTGATCTCCGGTGTCTGACCCTAGATTGACTCTGACCCCGACTCCTGCCTCTCGGTTCTAACCCAGTACTGCTCCTGGTCTCTGGTCTCTGACCCCAGCCTGGCTCTGACCCCGACTCCTGGCTCTTGGTTCTAACTCAGTACTGCCCCTGGTCTCTGGTCTCTGACCCCAGCCTGACTCTGACCCCGACTCCTGCCTCTCGGTTCTAACCTGGTACTACCTCTGATCTCTCGTCTCTGACTCAGGTTATGGGACTTGGCCTTGTAATTCCTCCAACTATTCCTTGGAGACTCCTAACTCTGGAGGGCAGACCTCAGCTCAGCTGTGACTGCTACAGGCAAGACAACCTACGCCCTGGGTCCCTTACAGCACCATTGATAGAGGGGGCAACACCTCCCAGGGCTGAATCCTGGAGGATGTCTACCAATTTGTGAGTATTCTCTTGTACCAGCTCAGCTTAAATACCCAGAACTGCAGCCATTCTCCTGAGCAGTTCCTGGAAGAACTTGAAGTCCCCTGGAACTGGGGAAGCCAAAGTCAGGGCCGCCAGATTGTCCCGGGAGGGTGTTGGCAGTGCTGCTGGAGCCAAAGGTGTCGCCTGTGGTACGGGTTTGTTCTCAGGCAGAAGGTTAACCACAGAGAATAGCCCAGGAGGAAGAACGTCGTCCTGGACTTCCACAACAGGCTGGTCCATGGCTTAGGCCATTCCCCAGGTAAGGGGATCTTACATCCAACGTATGCAGAGAACTGGATCTGTGTGAATGAGAAGCACCCCCAGGCTGGGATTATCAGCCTGGAGTACAACAGGAAGGCCAGTACATTGTGGGCCAGGCAGGTCTGTCTCTGCTACGGAAATGCCTCTTCTCTCAGTACCAGTGCTTACTCCCTGGGTGTATGGATGGTGTATGTGATTGCATTCGCTGATGTGGGGAACGAGAAGAGTTTCAGGACACTGACCTGGAGTGAGAAGAACTGTCTGAATAATCACTAGGTGTGGTGGATGCCCAACCAGTAGGGCCTCTGGAAAACCTGACTTGTCCACTGTACAACACAGAAAAGGTAACATCGATACTCTGGTTGGCATCGTAGACAGTCTTGCATGGGGTCCGGTACAGAGGACGGATCCCCTATTGGTGCTGAGGGGTCAAGATTCAGACCCCACTCTGATGTAGCTACTGATACGGAGGACGCCGGTACCAAGGCTGGTTTTATAGACAGTGCTGTGAGAGAACGGGTGGAGCCTGCCTCTTCATTGGTACTGGAGCTGAAGGCAATCTCTGCCCCAAAGCTGAAGACAATGAAGGGCCTGAGATAGCCTGGGGCACCGTCTCTTCACTGATATCCTGAGTTAGCAGGAATGCCAGGGCAGCTAGACAAAGCAAGTCTGAAGCTGCCAGGTAACCTTGTCAGGTCAATGGCACTGAGAGCGATGGTGCTGGAGTTTCTGTAGAGACCAGACTTGACAGCAGACTCGACTTGATGGTTCTGGAGTTGCTGGCACAGCACTGGGATTCTTCCATCCTGATACTGGGCAGACACGGGTCTGTTCTGGGTACCAGTCTTGTTGACAGTGAGGTCCTGTCTCGATGAAGAGGAGAATAAATCCCTCCTCAGTTTCTGGCACTCCGGTCCATTTTATGAGTCCTCTTACGAGGGATCTGTGAAATAATGATGGACCTCTTTCCTGCCTCCATGACTGATCAAAGTCCCGGGGTCTGTCCCCAACACCCACAGAGGTAGAGGATACCAGTTAACTGAGTGGTTGGAACAGGGTCCTCGTGTCAAGGCAGGTCTCACAGCCTGTTCCAACAAAATGCTGCTTTAGATGAAGATCTCTTGCGGTCTGCATTCTTTTCTTAACAGAACAATAGATACTTCACTATTCCTTGATGTGGTTCTCACCGAGGCACAACAAGTTGCATATGTGGGGGTCACAGGTAGGGACAGGCAATGCCCAAAGCCTGGGGTACACTCCAGAACTATACAAACTAACTGTACCACTAAATACACAAATAAACTAACTAATCTAACAAACTATGGGTGCTAACTGCCAGAAACGATTTACACTATGAAATACCGAATCACCCGAGTGTGACTCAGCAGAGAAATCATGAGGAGATTCCAACATGGGGTGCTCCAACCGAAGCCGCAGGCCGTAAGAAGGAAATGAGAGGGTTTAGGGAAGTGCCACCTTCATATAGCCTCGAGAGGAGCCAGGAGGAGGCACAGAGCATGCGTGCCGCCCCGAGGGGTACTACAGTGGCAAAAAGTCTCCAATTTGCAGTGCACAAGATGCCAGCACACTGGAGTGGAATACAGGTCTGCACCCACTCCAAGCAAGAAGATCTGCTCTGAAGGAAAATCTGAAACAGTTTTATGGAGATCCAGGAGGAAGAAAACTTGATGTTAATCACTAAAGTTCTCAAAGCCTAATCATGTGGGGTGCCGAGAGACCTCAACACTCACGAAAGTCACTGGGGTGGCAGAGCTGTAACTGAGAACAGATTCTGTTCCAAGAAATACACTTCTCATTAGGTCTCTCAGTGACAGAAAGGAAGTGCATGCTGATGGAGCAAGTAGAGTCACAGAGTTTAATCACAGAATTTAAAGCCAGAAGGGGCCATCAGATTACAGCCCACAGGAAACTAGACTATTGTGTGTCTCCAGGAGAGAAGAGAAGAGACCAAAGAGCCCCAAATGCCAGATACCCCTGCAATGGCAGGGAAATGATTGAGCTATAGCTAGATATTATTGACAAGAGACCTGCACCCACATGCTGCAGAGGAAAGAAAAAAACCCCAAAGTTACTGGCAATCTGGTCTGGGGGAAAATTCTTTTCTGACCCCACATATGGTGATCATTTAGATCCTGAGCATGTGAGCAAGAACCAGTCACACAAGCACCTAAGAGGGAGAATGCTCCGTGCCACCTCACCCCTGACCACCCCATCCTGTGTTCCAACTTTAGCCGTATTGCTTCAGAGAAAGACCAAAATCTTCCCCAGAATACATGGGGGGGTATCTCTTTCTGACCCCCTGCAGATGGCCAACTGAAGCCCTGAAGCATGAGGTTTTAGGAACATAGGACAAACTGGAATTGAGCAACAATGCTCACTTTATTTAACTCAGTTAAGATGAAGTGAATTTATGGGCTAGGCTAGTATTTATATTGAGGAGAATGTGGGCAGAAGGGCAAGTTCCTTCTCATTTGGGGGGGAGGGATCATATCTCTGTATATAGCATTTCTAGTAACATTATGTAAACAGATAATAGTTATTACAGGAAGTGATATTTCCCTTGACCCATGTTTTAAAATATATAAATAGAGTTTTGAAAGAGAAAAAAACACCTGTAATAGAAAGCACAACTTGAAAAGCTTGAGTAGTGTAAATTGGTTCTGACCAAAGGGGATCTTTAATAGAGAAGTAAAAGAAACTGGCGTTTTCTTCATTGTTCTGACTATGGCCAATTGATAAATATCACTTTGAGAAATCAGAAGTGCTTCTACCAATGGCCTTTTCCATGGTGCCCGACATGACAAGTGAAATATGTAATAGGATGATGGCAGAAATCACTGACTGAAATGAAACAATATTTTTAAAAATCACAAAGGTGAGCTGGGGCACCAAGCAAGTTCCGAGTCTGGTGCTACACTTGTCTCTTGCTTCTCAAGCTAAGTGGGGCTGAGAAAGTTAGACAGCAGCCTGCTTAGTCCTTAGGATAAGGAGTATATGTTACCTTATGTTGCTTTTGAATGACCTATCTGGTCATCGCTCTAAGTGGTATCCAGTATTTCCTGGCCAGGGAAGATTGTGTCAACATGGAACTTTCCTAAGGGTAGGGAAAGGTGGACTGGGGGATAGTCAAACTTTTTGTGAGAAGCCCATGCTTTATACTCAAATCTGTCTACTGAATATCTGCAGAAGCAATTCTTCCTTTCCCTTTTTGCTCTCCTCAGGGCACTGTTTTTTGAATGCAGACGAAGATGCTATAGGGTAAATAGATGCTAGGTACTGTAGCTCACACCTGTGACTCACAAAAACATCCCAAACATTATGTCTGCAACTATAGCTGGCAGGGAATCCAGGCCTGGAGGAGAGTTATGTTCTCCTAGTTTAACTCCTGACTAAGATGTTAAATCCCATTGAATCTCATCAGCTGAATATAATTCACGCTTTTCCTAACTTACACAAGTGAAATTATTTCAGATATTTTCAAGGGATCTGTCTTCTTTAGTATCTGCATATAATCAAATACAAGATAGTAATTAATTTTATCTTCAGTCCCCCATGCATTATAAATGCCTTACATAACAAGACTGAAATAACTATCAACAGCACAAACCTTGCTGTGTTTGTATTTGTCAAACGCTGTACAGATTTCAAAAGAGGCCTGGAGATCAGAAGTCCTGTATCCCTGACACAAGTCACTGTGGGCCAGGGTCTGATCTCAGATACATTAGTGTAAATCTGCAGTACTATGAAAAGCAAGAAATAAATTACTGCAGACATCTGTCTTTGGCTGAGAGTTTATTCACCATGTTTCAGCCTGAGGGGTGATTTACTGAAGAAACACAAGGTCCCTTAAGAGAAGGTTACTCACCTTGTGCAGTAACTGAGGTTCTTCGAGATGTGTGTCCCTGTGGGTGCTCCACTTCAGGTGATTGTGCGCCCCTGCACCTCTAGTCGGAGAATTTCAACAGCACTACCTGGTTGTGCTGCACATGCTCTCTCCCTGTCTCACGCCTGTAGCAACGATTAACTAGGGCTTTGCGGCTAACCCCCCGTCAGTTCCTTCTCTACCACAGAGGACCTTACTAGAACTCCAAAGTACAGTGGAGGAGGGTGGGTAGTGGAGCAGCCACAAACGGCGCACATCTTAAAGAACCTCAGTTACTGTGCAATATGAGTAACCTTCTTCTTCTTCAAGTGATGTCCCTGTGGGTGCTCCACTTCAAGTGGCTGTAGAACAGTGCCCCTCAGTGGAAAGGAGGGGCTTCAGAGTTGGGTCTGTGATCGGTGATAAGACCGTGTGTCCTAATAAAGCGTCGGATGTTGAGTCCTGCTCAATCGCGTAGTGCTGAAGGAATGTTACAGTAGAGCCTCACAGTTACAAACACCTTGGGAATGGAGGTTGTTCATAACGCTGAACAAAATGTTATGGTGGTTCTTTAAAAAGTTTGCCGCTGAACATTGCCTTCATACAGCTTTGAAACTTTACTATGCAGAAGAAAAATGCTGCTTTCCCTTTATATTTTTAGTGGTTTACATGTAACACAGTACTACACTGTAGTCGCATTTTTTTGAGGTCTCTGCTGCTGCCTGATTGTGTACTTCCTGTTCCAAATGAGGTGTGTGGTTGACTGGTCAGTTCGTAACTCCGGTGTTTGTAACTCTGAGGTTCTATTGTATGGGCTTATGCCCAAGTGGATGCTTTACATATGTCTGTAACAGGTACATTCTTAAGGAAGGCTACCAATGTGGACAGCAAACTGGTAGAATGTGTTCTAACCCTCAGTGGGTGTTGCAGTTCATGTTGGCGGTAGCAGAGATAAATGCACTGTGAAATCCATCTGGAGAGTCTCTGCTTAGATATAGCGTCTCCTTTAGATCTCTCCGTAGTAGAAAGAAACAGCTTTGGTGCCTTCCTAAATGGTTTTGTCCATTCGAGATAAAAGCCTTGTGCCCTTCTGACATCCAGAGTATGGAATGCCACTTCTGAGGTTTAGGGAAGAATGCAGGAAGATGGATAGGTTGGTTTAGGTGGAACAAAGAGGGTAGTTTAGGTAGAAACTTGGGATGTGGTCTTAGAATGACCTTGTTCTTGAAAAAGATTGTGTAAGGGGGGTATGCCAGAAGGGCGACAAGGAAGGCTATTTTCATTGAAAGGTGTATTAGAGAACATGTAACAAAGGGTTTGAACAGAGGTCCAGTAAGGGAATGAAGTACTAGATTAAGATCCCATGGAGGCATTGGGACTCTGAGTTCGGGATAGAGTTTCCAGACATCTTGTAGGAATCATTTTGTAATTGGATGGGCAAAGACTGAGAACCCATCCACTTTATGGTGAAAGGTTGTGATCGCTGCAAGGTGTACTCTGAGTGAGCTCGTTGAAAGAGCTGATATTTTTTAGCTGAAATATATCGTCTAGGGATAGCGGTAGAACGGAGGTGGTGGCTCTGATTCGTTTGTTCTTGTGGGGGTAGGTCAAATGTGTAGTCAATCATCTGCTGTTTAGCAAGATATCCTTCACCGCTTCTGAGCAAGGAAGCCATGCTCTCAGGTGGGAGTATCTTCAGGTTCAAGTGGAAGATCTGGCCTGCATCTTGTGATAGGAGGTGTGGAAGAAGTGGGAGGACAAGTGGGAGGACATAGAACATTCTGACCTCTGCTGTAGGTATGGAAACCAAGTTTGTCTTGGCCTTTTGGGGGCTATCAGGATGACCCTGCATTGGTTGGTCTTGATCTTTTGTATGACCCTGGACAACAACGGGGTAGGAGGGAAAGTGTAAAGAAGAGGTGCATCCCATCTGAGGAGGAAGGTGTCGCCTCTGGATCCCGGTCCCAAGCCTGCTCTGTATGTGTGCAACTGATTGTTCCTTCCTAAATGGAGTACTTTGCATTTGTCCTTATTGAATTTCATTCTATTTACTTCTGACCATTTCTCCAGTTTGTCCAGATCATTTTGAATTTTCATCCTATCCTCCAAAGCACTTGCAACCCCTCCTAGCTTGGTATAGTCCGCAAACTTTAGAAGTGTACTCTCTATACCATTATCTAAATCACTGAGGAAGATATTGAACAGAACCGGACCCAAAACTGATCCCTTTGGACCCCCACTCATTATGCCCTTCCAGCATGACTGTGAACCACTGATAACTACTCTCTGGGAACAGTTTTCCAACCAGCTTTGCACCCACCTTATAGTAGCTCCATCTAGGTTGCATTTCCTAGTTTGTTTTTGAGAAAGTCATGTGAGATAGTATCAAAAGCCTTTCTAAAGTTAAGATATACCACGTCTACCACTTTCTCCCATCCACAAGGCTTGTTACCCTGTCAAAGAAAGCTATCAGGTTGGTTTGACATGATTTGTTCTTGACTAATCCATGCTGACTGCTACTTATCATCTTATTATCCTCTAGATGTTTGCAAATCGATGGCTCAATTATTTGCTCCATTATCTTTCTGGGTACATCTTGCAGGTCGAAGGCAAAAAAACAGTGCTGAAATTATTGTTGCTAAAGTGACCATCCTGAACCATTATTCTGACAAACTTGTTAAGGTTTCTCAGGTGGAGAATGGGCCTCCAACCCCCAGTCTTCTTCTGGGTTAAAAAATAAAGAGAATAAAACCCCTTCCCTCTTTGTTGTACCAGTAGTGGTTCTACCAGACCCAATTGCAGGAGATGGTCTACTTCCTGTCTCAGAAGGTGCTCATGAGAGGAGTCCCTCCAGAGGGATAGGGAGAGAGGGTGGGTAAGGGGAATGGAGGTGAACTGGATGGAATAGCCAGTGTTGATAATTTCCAGTACCCACTTGTCTGAAATAATAATTCACTCTGCTGGGTAGAATGGTGTTAAACATTTTGTAAATGGATGGTTCATGGAAAGTGGTTTCAGCAACTGGAACTGGGGGAGGTCTGTTGAGCCCTCAACCAAACCTTCAAATTTGATGCCAGTTGTTGCAACATGGAAGGTTGAGATGGGGTTGGCCTATGTCTTGTGGGTCTTTGTCTCTGCCTCTGGGTTGTGTGTAGGTGTGCCAGTCTTGAACGTTGTTCTGAGTAATATCCGCCTTGTTTCCATTTTTGTGCAGGTGTACAGAATCATAGAATCATAGGATCGGAAGGGACCTCGAGAAGTCTTCTAGTCTAGTCCCCTGCACTCATGGTCGGACTAAGTATTATCTAGATACCTAAAGATCGAAGAGTTGCGCTAGAGTCCTTCAATGTATGGAGGGACTCATCAGTCTTACCCGCAAACTATTTTGGACCTTCAAAGGGGAGTTCCCCTCAATGGATTGTACCTCCCTTGGGAATCCAGACAGATGGAACCAAGAGGCCCATTGCATCACTATGGTGGTTGCAATGGATCTCGCTGCTGTGAGTGCCGAGTCTAATGATACCTGGAGAGCTGTTTGTGCCAGGAGGTGGCCTTCAGCGATGACTGACCTAAATTGCTCCTTCTTGTCTTCTGGTATAAAGTCAATAAATTCAGACAGTTTCGAATAATTGGTGTGGTTGTATTTTGCCAACAAGGTCTCATAGTTGGCGATTATAGGCAACTGATGACTGGGAAGAGTTTGTGGTCCTGAGTCTGAGTCTGGGCTGAGAGATTTCTCCATAAGAATAAGTTTGAATTTAAGGTCCCTCACTTTCCTGGCATGGGCCTTAAGGTTGTGGCAATGGAAGTACTTCCAGGGTATGTGCGTTTCCCCCAAGCAGAGGACACACTGGGAATGTCCGTCCGAAACGGTGACTGCCTCTCGGCAGGAGAGGCCACATTTAAAACCCAGGGACCTGGGCAGTCGCAGGTGGAGTTATCCCAGAAAGGGATGAACGAAACATAACATAAAATAATATGTTTTTATTTATATTTTTAAATGAGAAGGAAGAAAAGGGGTAGAGTAGTTAGTTATAACTTGTTTCCTATCTTCTACTATACAGTTAATCCTAAATCCAGATCTGAGGTAAATCGTGTAGAGGCACTGCCGGAGCCCCGACTTGGACCAAGAGTGGATGAGAAGGAACTGAGGGGGGTGTTGGCCGCACAGTGCTAGTTTAACTGCCGCTAGAGGCGCGAGACGGGGAGCGCGCACGTGGGGCCCAACTGGACACTGCTCTCGAAATTCTCCGACTAGAGGTGCAGGGGCGCACAATCACCTGACGTGAAGCACCTACAGGGACATCACTCGAAGAAGAACTATAACAGCACTAGTGATTGCTGCTGTAATACATGCAGAACTTTATTAACTCCACAGCTGCCTCTGCAGCCGAGACACAAGGTTTGGACTGGTGAGTGTACTGTTCAGCAGCAACCAGGGCATCTGTTAGGAAAATATAAAATCTGTGTTTAGATGTGAATGCAGATATTCCTAAAAGCACAAGGCCCTTTAACAAATAGCTGAAATGCTGAACAATGAAGTTCTTTACAAGCAAAGCCCTGAGAATCTTGGGATGGGTCTTTCTCAACAAGTTTGTAAGTTTATTGTGGCCCAATTATTCTGTTCACTGAAACCCACTATCACTACTATTATGCAAAAGGCACGCAGGCAAAATTGCCACTTTTTGCACAGCTGTTTAATTCCTGTGTTTAAGTTGAGCCAAATGTATATTTTAATTTTATATTCATGCCTAGAGTTCCCTAATGGGAATTCATTTTAAGTGCACTCCAAATTGCTGTTGCTGTCCAAATACTACAGAATCATTAAGTAACCGTTTGTGTGAACTCACTCAAAAATATATCTCAACTTCTAAGCTCATGTCTTTAAAGAGCTGCTGTAGTAAAAAAAATGACATAAAAGTGGCATCTCTGCTCTCTGGCAAGAGTTCTGAATCCCATATGCTTACTTTACAAGCAAAGAAAAGTTATTAGGGTTAGCCTTGTAGAAGTCAATACAGCTATGACTGAGCGTATTGGTTTCTAGCACCCTAGAATCATCAACAACAGTTTTCAGAGTAACAGCCGTGTTAGTCTGTATTCGCAAAAAGAAAAGGAGTACTTGTGGCACCTTAGAGACTATGAAGTGAGCTGTAGCTCACGAAAGCTTATGCTCAAATAAATTTGTTAGTCTCTAAAGTGCCACAAGTACTCCTTTTCTTTTTATCAACAACAGAGTCAGCCAGGTTCTGTATGTATAACAGAATCCTCATTACTGGTGACTTCTCATTGAGGGAGAATTAAATTGTAATCTAATTTTTCGATTTACTTTCTGGATGAGAACTATACTTTACAGATAAGTCTTCAACACATGGCTTTAAGATTACTATCGCTGGTTACATTGCTCTCTGGAGTGTACATGTATGTTAAAGTTTAACTCTCTCACCTGAATGAAGTTCCTTCACCAAAGAAGACATTGTATTTGTAATTGAATCAGCTGCTACCAATAAATCATTATGGAGGTTTCTTCGTGTACCTAGGAAAGAAATGGAGAAAAAGAAAATGAAAAGTTACGGCAAATATTAGACTTCGATTTCCCAAGCTATTCACAAAAGGATGTTCAATCAGACAGTGGGGTGGGAGGAGGTATTGTTTCATATTCTCTGTGTGTATATAAAGTCTGCTGCAGTTTCCACGGTATGCATCCGATGAAGTGAGCTGTAGCTCACGAAAGCTCATGCTCAAATAAATTGGTTAGTCTCTAAGGTGCCACAAGTACTCCTTTTCTTTTTGAGAAAACTACTCAAGATAGTTAAGTCCCAGGCAGACTGTGAAGAGCTACAAAAGGATCTCACAAAACTGGGTGACTGGGCAACAGAATGGTTGATGAAATTCAATGTTGATAAATGCAAAATAATGCACATTGGAAAACATAATCCCAACTCTACATATAAAATGATGGGGTCTAAATTAGCTGTTACCACTCAAGAAAGAGATCTTGGAGTCACTGTGGATAGTTCTCTGAAAACAGCCACTCAATGTGCAGCGGCAGTCAAAAAAGCAAACAGAATGCTGGGAATCATTAAGAAAGGGATAGATAATAAGACAGAAAATATCATGTTGCCTCTATATAAATCCATGGTATGTCCACATCTTGAATACTGCGTGCAGATGTGGTCGCCCCATCTCAAAAAAGAGATATTGGAATTGGAAAAGCTTCAGAAAAGGGCAACAAAAATTATTAGGAGTATGGAACAGCTTCCATATGAGGAGAAATTAATAAGATTGGGACTTTTCAGCTTGCAAAAGAGACAACTAAGGGGGGTTATGATTGAGGTCTATAAAATCATGACTGGTGTGGAAAAAATAAATAAGGAAGTGTTACTTACTCCTTCTCATAACACAAGAACTAGGGGCCACCAAATGAAATTAATAGGCAGCAGGCTTAAAACAAACAAAAGGAACTAGTCTTTCACACAACGCACAGTCAACCTGTGGAACTCCTTGCCAGAGGATGTTGTGAAGGCCAAAACTATAACAGGGTTCAAAAAAGAACTGGATAAGTTCATGGAGAATAGGTCCATCGATGGCTATTAGCCAGGATGGGCAGAGATGGTATCCCTAGCCTCTGTTTGCCAGAAACTGGGAATGGGCGACAGGGGATGGGTCACTTGATGATTCCCTGTTCTGTTCACTGCCTCTGGGGCACCTGGCATTGGCCACTGTCGGAAGACAGGCTACTGGGCTAGATGGACCTTTGGTCTGACCCAGTATGGCCGTTTTTATGTTCTTACATCCTGGAGTGGCTCCCTGTGGAAACTCTATTTTGCTAGGTGGATCGATTGTCTGCTTAGCCAATATGCTGTTACACCAGAAGTGGGCAAACTACTGCCCGCGGGACCGTTCTGCCCGGCCCCTGAGCTCCTGGCCCAGGAGGCTTGCCCCTGGCCCCTCCCCTGCTGTTCCCCCTCCCCCGCAGCCTCAGCTCACTGCACCGCCAGCACAATGCTCTGGGTGGCGGGGCTGCGAGCTCCTGGGGCAGTGCAGCTACAGAGCCCGGCCTGACCCGGTGCTCTGTGCTGCGCAGTACATGGCTGGCTCCAGCTGGGTGGCGCGGCTGCCTGTTCTGGTGCAGCCATGCTGCCAGAAACCAGTGCTCCAGGCAGCGCGGTAAGGGGGCAGGGATGGGGGAGGGGGGTTGGATAGAGGACAGGGCAGTTTGGGGGGTGGTCAGGGGCCAGGGGCGTGCATAGGGGTAGGGGAGGTCAGAGGATGGGAAACAGGGGGTTCAATGGGGCCAGGAGTTCCGGAGGTGGTCTGGGAGAAGGGGTGGTTGGATGGGGCAGGGGTCCCAGGGGGGTTGGATGGGGCAGTGGGGGGCAGTTGGGGCGTGGGGTCTAGTGGAGGTCAGGGAGAAGAGGTGGTTGGATGGGGCAGGGGTCCTGGGGAGGCAGTCAGGACTGAGAGGAGGGGTTGGATGGGGCAGCAGGGGGCAGTCAGTTGTGGGGGTTCCGAGGGTGGTCATGGGACAGGGAGAAGGGGTGGTTGGATGGGGCAGGGATCCCGGGTGGGTTGGATGGGGCAGTGGGGGGCAGTTAGGGGTGGGGGATCTAGGGGCGGTCAGGGAGAAGAGGTGGTTGGATGGGGCAGGGGTCCTGGGGGGGGCAGTTAGGAAGGAGAGAGGGGGTTGGATAGGGTGGCAGGGGGCAGTTAGGGGCGGAGGGTCCAGGGGTGGTCAGGGGAGAGAGAGCAGGGGGTGTGGATGGGGCAAGGGTCCCGGGGGGGCCATCAAGGTGGGTCGGATAGGGGGCAGGGGCTGGGCCACGTCTGGCTGTTTGGGGAGGCACAGCCTCCCCTAACAGGCCCTCCATACAATTTCTGAAACCCGATGCGGCCCTCAGGCCAAAAAGTTTGCCCGCCCCTGTGTTACACTATATTTTCCAATGACATGGACAGCACAGGTGGACCACATCACCATGGTCAAGTGTTTTTGTCCAAGAGAAGAGTGGTTTGCTTCTCTTTGAAGTGCAGCAGTGCTTCCATTTGTGTGTGTATATATATTGTGATGGGGCAAGACCAGATGGCTATAGTAAAGTAATGGGAGACAGATATATTAGCCACAGGCTAAACAAATCCCTGTTATCAGAATAAGCAAATGGCAGCTGCTTCAGGTCAATTAAGACACCTGGGGCCAATTAAGATCTTTCCAGAAGGTAGGGAGCACACTAGGTTGATTGGGACACCTGAAGCCAATCAGGGGCTGACTGAAACTAGTTAAAAGCCTCCCAGTTAGTCAGGTGGGCACGCATGTCAGGAGCTGTAGGAGGAAGTTGTGCTGTTGGAGAGACTGAGCAGTACACACCAGATCAGGCACAAGGAAAGAGGCCCTGAGGTAAGGGTGAAGTGAATCTTGAGGAAGTGGGGGCTGCTGCGGGGAAGTAGTCCAGGGAATTGTACACGTCCTGTTTCTAAAAAGTCAGCTACCACAGCTGATACTATTAGGGTCCCTCGGCTGGAGCCTGGAGTAGAGGGCGGGCGCAGGCTTCCCCCTTTGGCCCCCCTGATTAATCACTGAGACTGGGAGACTGTGCAAGGGAGGATAGCTTTTCCTCACCTCCCTCGCTGGCTTATGATGAAAATGGCTCAGTAGGCTGTGACCCTTGCCTTTAGAGAGAGAAGGGCTACGTGGAGGGTCACAGGTAGCCTCTGAGGCTAACGAAATCCGCCAGGAAATGTGGGACCCACAGAGAAAAGGACAGAGCTTTGTCACTATATATATATATATATATACACACACACACCCCATCAATGAAATGTTTCCAGTCCCTTGTATATAGTTCTTCTTTCTAGTGACTGATGGAGTAACTCTCTTTCCTGATGGACAATGCTTCAGTGGATAGCAGGCTACCTAGCACTCCAAATTGGCATCCATTGTGATGATTGACATGCTTGGTTTCAAGATTTGCAAACTTCTTGAAAATCTGTGTCCTGTCATCCACAGGACCCTGTTCACCGCTAGGGAAACCTGAACCTTTGCCATAGGTTGTGTAAGCACAGATAGTGGCAATGAGCAAATTATGTGGTGTAAAAAAAATCTCATGTGAAACCTGATCCTTCTGATAATCCCTGTGCAAGAGGTTAGCAATACCAAGAGGGGCAGCAGGGTTTGTATCACAGACACCTGCGATTTGCACTTTTTGGATGGCTCTTATTGTCTTCTGTTGCCTCTCTGAGGAACATAGACACAGACTTTTAGGTTTCCCTGGGGGAGTGCTCCACCCCAAAGCCCTGGCCCTCTCCACCCCGTTCTCCATGGCCCACACTCACTCCGCCTCTTCCCACCCCTGCTCTGCTCCCTCCCCAAGGCCCTGCCCTCACTCTGCCTTCCTCCCTGAGGCCCCACCCTTGCTGATTGGCAGCACAAAAACAGCTGTGGCTGGTAGTTGCTGAGCACCCACTTTTTTTTTTCCTCATGGGTGCTCCAGCCTCAGAGCACCCACGGAGTCAGCACCTGTGCTGAGGAAATAAAGATTCTGGGACTGACAGAGTCTATCCATGCTCCCAGGTACACAATGAACTGTATTGATGATACAGCTGATCTTTCCCCTGCTTATCAGGAACCTGTATACTTCTAGTATTTTGATATTATTAACAAGCCCTCTCCTGTGCCTTGACTCTAAGACCAAGAGATCATCTAAGGAGGAGTCTTGCCTTGTCTAAGGATCACGCTGGCAGGAAATGCTAACAACTATTTCTCAAAAAGGTTCCCTTCTCTGGTCCTGCAAAACAAGCAGAGATCTTCCTCCATTAGCTCTAATAGAGAGGATGTTACAGGTAGAACAGACCTTGCTTTTGCTTTTTTTCTCATTTGTCTGCCATGTTGACTGCTCCCTGGAGCTGTAAGGGAGAAAACGCTGTGGAACCTCAGTGAAGAGCTGAAGGAAAACCTTCCTTCCTATGCACATACATCTGCAAGAACCCAGTAAGTAGTAGCACAAGCTAGCAAAAATAATTTAAATGTTTGGTGAAAATTTTGGGTTAAATGAAACTCTTTTGGCAAGCATTCTTGGACTTCAGAAAAAGCCTGTGAGTTACTTGATTCTTTCGCAGCATCATCGCTAGTGACTCCGACTGTTGTATTTGAATAACTTGTAGGACCCACTGTACTATTGTTCTACTTCATGCTGCCTGGAAACAAGTCAATCTGCAAAGGGGAAAGGAAACCAGTTGCCAAAGAAAGCAGTTAGGAACGCTCAGCTGTACTCAAACTTGCCGCAGAGGCTAAGAAGAAGCAACTGGACCACCCACGGCAGCAGATGGAGTGCTATGCCTCTGGTATTTGGCACGATACCTCCCTGGGAATGCCTGCTTCTGCTATTGTTTCTGGAAGTGTTCAGAGGGACAAGGAGTTAATCCCTACTGCTGGAATCTGAACGACACATTATTCTTACAAGTGAATTGCAGGGGCCCAAGGTTTGTAGGGTTGACATATTCCAAGGTCTCATCTGTGTATTGACTAAAGAGGTTCTGGTCTTCAAGTAACAGAGCCTCAGATTTTGCTGGATATCATGGGGAATGAACCCTTTAATCAGTATATTCTTCTCAAAGTGTTAGTGTGGTACCAAAGGTATTATGTATTGAACAAGAGACTTTTTAGCCACTTTTTGCCCCTCTGCTGTAATTTCCTTTGCCTTTTTCTTAGCCCCCTCAGGCAGAAGCCAGTCTCGGGGAGGAAGAATATAGTCTCAGCAATCTTCATTTGAAAAGCTAACAAACATAACACCATCTTCATAGTGAGGTCTATGTTCACAGACTCTGTCTTGAAGTGAAGACTATTCATACAATTGATGTATTTGACACGGACACTTAGTAGCTACACTGACCACCAAGCAACATGGCACTATATGTGCATAAAACTACTTGTGTCCTTGTGGTAGTAATTGGTATGACTTATCATCTCCTTTAGGAATAAGTGGGATGGGTTCAGGAGTGAGCTGGAGGTCCTTTACTGACTCCAGAATACCATCATTCAGGAGAATTGCTACAATGTTTCTGTGCTGTAGAGTCTGAGATGTTAAAGAACCAGGGGCTTGTCAGGCAATATTGACAGTTCTGGATCAAGAGTTGCTGCCATGTTTGTGGTCAATTCCTGGAAACAATGGAAGTTCTTAGGAGAAAATGACAGAGATGTTAACTCTTGTAAACTTCTTTACCTCATTTTCAATAGGACAGGTGTGAAGCATGGGTGGATGTTCTCCCAAAACAGAGGGATTGCCAGACACTGATCCTCGTGCACAAGCAGGAGATGACTGACCAGGAGCTCCGTCTTCAGCACTGAGGCGTTAACATATGCAAACCAGGCCCTGTTCCATCTTAAAAAGGTAGAGCCATCATAAGGTCCTACGCAGAAGCTTTGAGTCATGGAGGAACAGAAAAGTCAGGTATATGCACCTTTAGTGGGGCTGTTCTAAACAGCCCTATGCTCCCTCCAGACGCTGACCTCAGTGAGTTTACCTTGTGGTAGAGCTAAAGTACCTGGTCTTCACTGTGTTTTTGCTCCAGAATAGTTCATGCACATTTATGTGCATTAGTTACTCTTGTTAGGATATAGATATTCAGGCCTGTCTGTAAAGACCCAGACTCTAAGAATTTAGGTGTATTCTTATCACTTGGCTAGTGATAGAGGTATAAAAGAAAGAATCAAAATCACTGTCTGCTGGTGTAAGGGCCTTCTCTTACTGTGACAGTCTGAGGCCCTGTTCTTAGGCTAAGGCCTTTGGCTAAGCAGCAGAGGTAGCCATAAGCTGGGAAGCAAACAGTCACATCCTCACACTCCAAACTAGTCACACTGAAATAAGGTGCTATTCGGCTGTTAGGAATACAATCCTGTCCTGATAGTTCCTATCACCTCCAGAGAAAGGAAAGTGCCTAGAAAATGTAAAAGGAAACTTAGTTTGATAGCATCCTGTCTGGCAAGAACTCACTTATCAATAGCTGGGATGTGAAATCCTCACTTCTGTATTGTTTTGTCATTATAGTTCCCACTTTGCTATTGTTTGTCTGTATAATCTCTGTCTGGTTCTGTGATTGTTCCTGTCTGCTGTATAATTAATTTTGCTGGGTGTAAACTAATTAAGGTGGTAGGATATAATTGGTTACATAATCATGTTCTTCGGGTATTGTTGCTCTCTGTTCATGCGAGAAGGACCAGGGAAGTAAGTGGGTGAAGGAATAAGCCCCCTAACAACTCTGAAGTACAGAACCTGCCTTTTTTAGCAGTGTAGAGAAGGCCAAAGAGAGCAGTGGAGTCCAACTGCTGAAGCTATCGTGCCCAAAATTTTGTTGCCCAGGCAACCTCTACATCCCTGGCTTTTGTAGGGAGAAAATACGAGGAAGATTCTGGAATGGGACAAACAGAAGAGGAAAAAATGAGAGAGAAAGTATGTATGCAACCTCCGAGTCAATCAGTTTCTCAGCAGAATTGGGTTCTGGTCATTCCACTGTTGCTGAGAGAGCATTTCAAGATGAGCAGATGGTGCAGAAGAATCACTCATTTCCTCATACCGTGTCGATGGTTCCCTGCAGGGAAGAATAACGGGGTGCCAAGTATCTTGACATCACAACCTCAAACTTCTATTTGCTTTCCTTCTTGCAAAATTCTGACTGAAACAGAAGAGAATGATGCCTCTATTCTTCTTCAACACTGAGAAAGAGGTAGTAGTTGGTACCCAGCTCAAGTACTTTTCTTTGCCTCTGGATCTCCAACCTCTTAGACCTTTCTGGAGCTATTCTCTGCAGGTGTCTTATGGATTGAAGATGCCCCTGGCACCAAAAGGTTAAGCATCTCTGAAGCAGATGCCCATAAAGACTTCTCTAACTGGAGGAGCCTAAGTGTAGGCTCACAACAGCTGCAGGTACTGGTGTCATAAATATAAAGGGAAGGGTAAACCCCTTTAAAATCCCTCCTGGCCAAAGGAAAAATCCTCTCACCTGTAAAGGGTTAAGAAGCTAAAGGTAACCTCGCTGGCACCTGACCAAAATGACCAATGAGGAGACAAGATACTTTCAAAAGCTGGGAGGAGGGAGAGAAACAAAGGGTCTCTGTCTGTCTGTATGCTGCTTTTGCCAGGGATAGAACAGGAATGGAGTCTTAGAACTTTTAGTAAGTAATCTAGCTAGGTATGTTTTAGATTATGATTTCTTTAAATGGCTGAGAAAAGAACTGTGCTGAATAGAATGACTATTTCTGTCTGTGTATCTTTTTTGTAACTTAAGGTTTTGCCTAGAGGGATTCTCTATGTTTTGAATCTAATTACCCTGTAAGGTATCTACCATCCTGATTTTACAGAGGTGATTCCTTTACTTCAATTAAAAGTCTTCTTGTAAGAAAACTGAATGCTTTTTCATTGTTCTCAGATCCAAGGGTTTGGGTCTGTGGTCATCTATGCAAATTGGTGAGGATTTTTACCAAACCTTCCCCAGGAAGTGGGGTGCAAGGGTTGGGAGGATTTTGGGGGGAAAGATGTGTCCAAACTACCTTTCCCAGTAAACCCAGTTAAAGTTTGGTGGTGGCAGTGGAAATCCAGGGTCAAAGGATAAAATTAATTTGTACCTTGAGGAAGTTTTAACCTAAGCTGGTGAAAGTAAGCTTAGGAGGTTTTCATGCAGGTCCCCACATCTGTACCCTAGAGTTCAGAGTGGGGGAGGAACCTTGACAACTGGAGAGTAAAGGTGCACATTTTAACCACTACCTCTTTGAATGAGTTTTTCCCAAGCACCACAGACCATATTATTCAGAAATTTACATACTGCCCTGGCAAAGCGTATACCATTTGAACCAACATTTTATGCTAGGATCAGCCACATTGATCTCACCAAAGAACTCAGTGGAACCAAAGGACAGGGCCCATAACCGGTACTGCATGGAGCTAAAGTTGACTGTGGAAACTACAATTGGGGAGCACTAATTAAACCTGCTTATAGTACAGACTGTAAAACTAACAATATCACACCAGTAACTACGTCCAGAAGTGTCTTTTGCAGTTAGATGCTAAAGAGTAAAAAGTCACCAACAAAAGACAAGAACGATGTGACTAAGGTTCTGCCCTTCAGCCAACCAGGAGGAGAAGGAAGTAAGGTAGGCTGGGGGCCGCACCCTCTTTCACACTGTTGACACTGAATGTGTGATGCCCCAGCAGCCATTGGTTTCTAGGGTCCAGCTGGCATATGCATACCCCACAAGTGGGGCTCCATACTGACAATACCCCTTGGAGAACAGTTTCGCTGGGGATGGGATATGTCACTGTCCACTTTTTAATTTTGTCCACTACTTTTTTTTTTCCCCCTCATCTTTTGGCTGGTTTTACTCTTGTCCTCCCCTCTCCACACAGTGTTTTGACACTTTTAGGTTTATACCAGAGTGTTTGCCTGTTCAGAGATTTGCATACTGGTTAAGGGCTACATTCAGTTTAGCATTCACTTATTTGCAGTCCAAAATTTCAACTTTTTTTTTTTTACCTAGTAATCAACAAGGTGAATGTTAGCTGAACCCTCTGGTTGAGAGTGCTGTTTTTTTTCCCCTGATGGCTACCATTCTGTCCCTCTCTGCATCCTTTGGGCCAAATTTTGGTAAGTGGTCTCCCGTTTTGCACTCAATTCACAGCACTGTGACATGAAGTTTACTTACCTGATTTAAAAATATACCTCCATTCTGCTTTGGAATATTCCAAGTGAAATAAGATCAGTAATTATCATATCAAAATTGCTGTATTATATTTGTGTAATAATCAATAATTTCAATGTTTGGCAACAGCAGGAGTTTTGGTTTGTGCTACACTCACCTTGTGCAAAAGCTTCCTGCACATCTCCCCCGACTCCCACAAGTGAGTCCTGAGGTACATGAGTTGGGGTAGAGCCAGCGGAAGTGGCTCTGAAAGGCATCGGCATTGGGCGACTGGCTCCATGGGTAGGTGAGGAGTGTGGGGAGCTTGCTGCTTGAGCCTGTAAAGGGAAATACAACACGGAGTTTCCAAACTTTTAAATTTTATATGTTTTGGATCAATGTCTGTAAACAATTCTGTACAAAGCACTTAAGGGACAGAATACAATTCAGGCACTTTACGCAAATATTCATGATATGGGTATTCTGAACATATGAATGGTAGCCCTCACATTCCTCCTACATTAGGAGGTCCAATATCCAAAGCTCACAGAAGTCAATGTCAGTTCTGGTGTCCATAATTCAAGAAGGATGTTAAACTGTAGAGGGTTCAGAGAAGAGTCAAGACAAGGATTAAAGGGCCACATGACCATCTAGTCCAGTATTTTTCTCTGACAGTGACAAATGCTAGAGGCTTCAAAGGTGAGTGCAAGAAACCTCACAGTGGGCATTTACAGAATAACCTGCCTACAGGTGAAGGTTCTTCCTAGCCACCATCACATGGTGTGGCTTATGACTTGAAGCATGAGGATTTATATCACATACATCAGACTTGGTCATTCTCATTATTCATATAAATATTAAATGGAGCAGAGAATGCTTCATATTTTCAGATCTTTCACTTCACAAGTGGGAAAAATGTAGGCACCTCTTTCCCCAGAGTCCATAAACACAGTTTCTTGTCAGGACTCAGACTACGTGGTGGACCACGTGACTTTGACCTTAAAGACGAGGTCCATGGTAGAAATCCAAGAGAAGGAAGGGGAGAACTGTTCCATTTTCTTTGGCAGAAAAATCCATACCAGTACAGCCACCCATTTAACAAAATAGTGAATTTCCTTTTTAGGTATCTCAAGTTTCAGGGGACCATTAATTGAGGATAGAAACACTAATTATGGGAAAGGCCACCTCAGAGGACCTGATCTCAGTATGGTGTAATGGATGTTATTGATGGCTCTAAAAGATAAGATTCCCTTTATGGAAAAATGGGAAAAGGATCTAAAAACAAATATCTCTTTGGAACAATGGAAAAATAACTGGAGTAAAGACAAAGCCGCACCTAATTGTGTAACCATTAAGGAAAATTACTACAAACTACTTTATCATTGGTACCTCACTCCATTTAAGCTAAAGAAAATATATCAAAAAGGGTGTCATAAATGCTGTAGAGGAGGCGGAGGACTAGGGGCTTTTCTGCATATATGGTGGGAATGCCCTATAAGTACAGTATTTGAGGAAAATTACAAATAGAACTTTCAAATTAAAAAATGGTTATTTACCTTTCAGCAAATGTGGCTCTTCAAGATGTTTTTCCCACACAGATCCCACTCTAAGAGTACATGCACCCCAACACCATGAGATTGGATTCTTTTTTACTAAACAGTGTCCATTGGGGCCACACCAATCCCTGCATGTCTTGCACCCCTCACCAGAGTGCATAAAGGGTGGAGCAGATCCAAACGCCACTCAGTTCCTTCACCAATACAGAATCCCAAAGCTAGAAAACATCACATTCGTGGGGAAGCAGAGTGGGTCATGGGATCCCTGTGGACAAAACATCTCAAAGAACCACAGTTAATGTAAGGTAAGTAATCGATTTTATTTCTTCCACTATGTGTCCACAGAGATTCCACTCTAGGTGATTGGCTAGCAGTTGTCTCTCTAAGGAAGTGGGTGTCAGAAGTTCTACTTAAATAGGGACTGTAGGACCAAATTGAGAGGCAAATTGAGAGGCAAATCTAGAGTTGCTACAAAGGAATAATGATTATTAAAAATACGTAATAAGTTCCAAGTAGCTGCCTTACAGATTTCGGATACAGGAATGCTCCTCAAACAAGTTAAAGAGCTTGCCTGATCTCTATTCTGAGAAGGAGCTAATTTATTCAATTCATATGAAATCCTGATACAGTTTGACACCCACTTCAAGAGTCTGAGTGGAAATACCCTGCCCTCTAGACCTGTCTCTAACAGCTAAAACAGTCTGGGAGATTTGCATAAAGATTTTGTTCCATGGAGATAGGAGGAAAGGGCTCTCAATACATCAAATGCATGGAGTTTTGCATCTGCAGGAGATGACTGAAACCTAGGAAAAAATACTGGTAAATACATATCGTTTCAAGATTCAAGTATAGATTTGAAACTACTTTGGGTAGAAATTTTGCATGAGGTCAAAGAGTAACTCTGTCCTTGTGAAAAGTAGGATAAGGTGGTCCTGCCATTAACGTCCGAATCTCTCTCACTCTCCAAATAAAAGTATACAGTATAAAGAACATGATATAAAGCACAAGCTATTATATGAAGAACAAAGGCTCAAATGAGGGTTCCATTACAGACAGAAGTACTACATTTAAACTCGGGGGGGGGGAGGGGGGAGGTTAATTTCCTTAACTGGTGGAAATACATAAACCAACCCCTTCAAAAATTTAGTCAGAGCGAGGTGTAAAAATACAGTGTGGCCTTGAATGGGAGCATGGTGGGTAGATATTGTTACTAAGTGAAGTCTGATGGAACTGTCTGAAAGGCTCAAATATTTCAGGGAAACAAATCATCCAGAATGCCTGGGATAGAAGCCTTCAAGGGCTGAAGGGGATATTGCAGCCCTCATTGAAAAACATTTCCACTTGGCTCTATCTGTGAGCCTCCCTGAAGCTATATTGCTCTGAATCAGAATGTTCTGCATCAGTGCAAAGCAACACCTGTCTTATGAAGTTAGCCAGCTAGCATCCACAAAGTCAGATGCGGAGATGATGGGTCTGGATGTAGAATGAGACCTTGGCTCTGTGAGATAATGTATAGAAGAAATGAGGGTGGGAAGCGTGGCCCAAATGATAGATGGCTCAGTTTTGAGTCCCAAAATTGGTGTGCCACACTGGTGCTATCAGAATTACTCGGGCCTTGTTCTGTCTTATTTTCTGACGACTTTGGGAATTAGTGGAATTGGAAGTAATACATACAATAGATACATGTTCCACGGGAGCACAAATGCATCCAAAAGGGAGCCTGGGCTCTTTTCTCCTCAGGAGGGAAATATGAGACACTTCTTTTTCAAATATGTTGCAAAAAGGTTTCTGGTGGGACCCCTCCATTTCTGAAAAAATTGTTTCAGGACTGACTCTTAGAACTACAGAACCATAGGGTTAAAAGGGACCACAAGGGTCATCTAGTCTACCCCTCTGCCAAGATGCAGGATCTTTGAAGGCCTGTTTGTGAAGAAAAGAGTACTTCCTGCTAAGATTGACCTGCTAAGTTTTTCTGGACCCCAGGCAAGTGGAGGGCAATCAGACTGCCCTGATGTTGAACACACCACTCCTGTAGATGAGTAGTGTCTTGACATAGAAGGGATGATCTTGCTTCTCTTTGTCTGTACATCACTGTGGTCTTTAAAGTCTACCAAGACCCTATTGATGTGTAGGGGAATTCTTATGTATGACAAGGAATTAAAAATGTTGAATAGTTCATGGACATTCTCTGGGATTATAGCTGTTTTGATATTCAAGTTCTCCACAATTCTGGACAAGAGATCCCAGAACACCTGAAAATCATCCATGGTCAGTGCTAAAGAGTAAGTCTTGTTGACATAAGAGGATTCTTATGCACTTAGGACGGAAGAACCCAATGCACAGCTACAGACTAGGGACCGAATGGCTAGGCAGCAGTTCTGCGGAAAAGGACCTAGGGGTGACAGTGGACGAGAAGCTAGATATGAGTCAGCAGTGTGCCCTTGTTGCCAAGAAGGCCAAAGGCATTTTGGGATGTATAAGTAGGGGCATAGCGAGCAGATCGAGGGACGTGATCGTTCCCCTCTATTCGACATTGGTGAGGCCTCATCTGGAGTACTGTATCCAGTTTTGGGCCCCACACTTCAAGAAGGATGTGGATAAATTGGAGAGAGTCCAGCGAAGGGCAACAAAAATGATTAGGGGTCTGGAACACATGACTTATGAGGAGAGGCTGAGGGAGCTGGGATTGTTTAGCCTGCAGAAGAGAAGAATGAGGGGGGATTTGATAGCTGCTTTCAACTACCTGAAAGGGGGTTCCAAAGAGGATGGCTCTAGACTGTTCTCAATGGTAGCAGATGACAGAACGAGGAGTAATGGTCTCAAGTTGCAGTGGGGGAGGTTTAGATTGGATATTAGGAAAAACTTTTTCACTAAGAGGGTGGTGAAACACTGGAATGCGTTACCTAGGGAGGTGGTAGAATCTCCTTCCTTAGAGGTTTTTAAGGTCAGGCTTGACAAAGCCCTGGCTGGGATGATTTAACTGGGATTTGGTCCTACTTCGAGCAGGGAGTTGGACTAGATGACCTTCTGGGGTCCCTTCCAACCCTTATATTCTATGATTCTATGATTCTATGATTCTTTGAGTGGAAGGAAGTTGGAACATTTCCTGGGCCCATTCTGCCAGCTTACCCAGCTGCTCTTCCAGTATTGGAGAGGAGGTCCTCCATACTAATGCCGAGGAGGACCAGGATCTCTTCCTCCTCATGGGGACATGGGATGGGACTTGACCCTGGGACTGAAGATATGATAGGACCTAACATAATCCATAGGGCAATGGCAGTAGATCGTACTGGTGTTGGCCAGATTGTTGTGGCCCATCCACTGCCATTCTGGTCAGAGGCCTTGGTGCGGGGCACCTTTCAGTTATCACCTGGGGTTTCAGTCCAGTCTCCTGGAATCAGGTGGTTCAAAGAGAGGGAGGAGAACCAATGATGATGCCTGTGCTGTGCCCAAGTCAGTACCGGCATCAGTGCCAGGAGGAAAGAGGTAAGTGGAATGTCCGGGTTCCAGTAACACAGACACAGGTAACTAACCGCTTTCATGTTCTCTCCACAGGTATCGTTGCGGAGAGCGGACCAGATGATATGTCTGGGGCGAGAAAGCAGAAGGAGACTCCGCTGGTTGGAAGGCATGAGATGCGCTGTCCTGAGGTTGGGAGTTCCACGACCACCACTCCCAAGAGGAGAAGGCGGGTGGTGGTGGTCGGGGACTCGCTCCTCCGGGGGACTGAGTCATCTATCTGCCGCCCTGACCGGGAAAACCGAGAAGTCTGCTCTTGCCGG